TTTTTCAACAATATTTCTCCTTCCGCATCCCTTGTTACATCCGTTCTACGAACATCCCAGCACAAACACATTGGATCTGCATTTCATACAGATGGTTTGCCACGCAGAATTTTATTCATGGCTTAACAAGGACTCTGCACCAGCAAAACGGGGTTTATTTTGTGTACCCCAGGGTGATGCTAACAGCTTCCTTGTCTAGTGGTGAAGGGTCCCTCGGGAGACAAACATAGGGAGTCAGATATATTAAGGTGTCACAACCAAGCCGCAAAAGGGCTTTTCAACCTGGCTGTCACAAAACTTGGTGAAAAGGGGACAAAGGCGCCTCACAAAATCCCATCGCAAGCTGCTCGGGAAGGGTTTTGCCAACCAGGGGAGAGCTGCTCTCCCTTGCTGCGCCCCCCGCGCTGCAGGCACCCCACGGCGGGCCCAGACGATAGAACTTTTCCGACTGACACAGGAGGGCCCGGCGCGGCGGGCCCTGACGGAATCTCCCTCTCGCCAAATGGCGGCCCCGCTCCGCGAGGCGCTCGCGGCCCGCCCGCCGCCAGGCCCGGCACGGCCCGGCCCCGCTCCGCTCACTCACTCCTCTAAGAAGTCCTGGAACAACTTCTGGCACTTCTCGGCCACCTCATCGCGGAGCTGCTGGTGCTGCTGAGCCGCGCCCGCGTCCCCCGCCGCCGCTGCTGCCGCCGCCAGGTCCATCCCGGCCGCACCAGCCCCCCCCTCACCGGCCCCACCGCCGTTCGCGCCACAGCGCGCCTCACGTGCACCGCCTCGCCGGCCAATCGGCGACCGCCGAGCCCGCCGAGCCCCGCCCCGCCGGCCAATCGGCGACCGCCGAGCCCGCCAAGGCCCGCCCCCGGCCGCCTCTTCCCTCACGGGCGTTTTCGCGCCAAAGGCGAAGGGCGCGCTGGAGCTGAGGGCGGAGCTCGCGCGCGGGGCGGCCGTTGGCCGTGGGCTCCTGCCCCGTCGAGGGGCAGACTTAGGGAGCGTCAGTAGGGCTCTGTGAGGGGCGGTTTTCCCGCCTCATGGAGGGGGGAGGACGGTATGCTGGGCACCATCTCCGGGCCCTGCCGTCAGCACCTCGGCCTTTGTGCTTGTTTTTCCCAGTAAACTCGTACATGCTGTGGAAGACTCAAACCTGCGGTGGAGGAATGTGTCCCATCAGCGTGTAGGTGTCTGCTGCTGCAGGGTGGGGGGATGCTGCAAGCATATTCTAGCTGCAAGTGGACTTGGGCAGGCCACTGGTTTCCAGGAGAAGCAGACCATCTACTGTAACTGGAGTTAAAACCACACTGGTTCACCCGGGGCGCTGCTGAGGGGGCATAGAGCCGTGGAAGCCCCTGCACTGTGTGTGTGGGAGGGTCTCGGGCAGCCTCTGGCTAATGAGACCCACTAGGTAGGCTGCACCTGAAAGTGCACCTGCATCTGAAGGACTAGCCTCAGGTGAAAAGGGTTTAAATTAAAGCAGGTGAGGGTCAGGCTTTAGTTTAGATGCTTGACTCTGTGCTTGTAATGTTGTGCTTACAGGTAGGATGGTGTCAGGCGATGCTTCCCAAGTGATGCCAAGGCTGACAGCCGTTACTGGGTGGCAGCTGGTGGCACACGATGCCTGCCAGCAGGAACCGTTTCAATAGCTACAAAAAATTGCTTAGAATTGCTCTGCCACCTGCAAAGTCATTAATCTCTGTCTAAACTGGGAATTTTGCTGTAATTAAGGCAGTTAAGGGCTGACCCTTTTTCAGTTCTGAAACCCTTTGAACAGTGCTGACAACAGAAGCTTCCCGCAGCAGTGTTACTTCATGTTACGGTGCACTTGCCATATGGTGAACAGTCTTAACTGCAACATGGTAAAGGCTGCCTGGCAACTTGGTTTGTTGGGTATAAGCTTCAGCTCTGCATAGTTCACTCACTTTTCATTTAAGAAGTCAGAGTAAAGGTTCTGGCTGGGCTAGTCTTTTTAGAAAGTTGGTATTATTTTAATGGAGATTGATGTGCTTTGGTACATAATTGCAGCTTTTTGAGGGTTGGGTTTATTTAGTTGCTTTTTTTTCCTTCTTGAAGATGGCTAAGGGCTTGAGGTGGCAAAGCAGAAAAACTACCCAACTGTTTACAATTTATCCTATGCTTGCACCCTCTTTTGAATGCAATTAAAAATAGTAGAACTTGAGAATGTTTTAAAAACTTGCAGTGAGTAAATTCCATATTTTGTCAGATCACACTAGCAAAAACGTGCACAAGTTGTGAGGCTTATTTATTTTAAATGAAATAATAAATCATCCTAGTTTCTGCTGGTTGTCTATAATTTCTCTCAACAAAAAAACAAACCAACCCACCCACACCCTGCATGCAGATACCTAAACAAAGAATAGTAAATAATTAAAATGTTTGGGCAAGTTGTGTACTCTAGAGAAGGCTGTCAAGAAACATGCTGTTTTTCCAGGCCCTCTCTTTTTTTTTTTAGCACACAGGAACATGCTTAAAGGGGACCCATCGCTGGCTGCAGGGTGTATGGGGTAGAGGTTACCAGTGGACTTCATGGCCTGAATGAAATCGTGCCTCTGTACAGGACATGCTGGAACCCCAGGATGGACTGGAGACCAAGGCAGCCAAGCAGCATGCTGCAGTGGACACTGCCAATGCCTTCTCCTCCATCCCTTTGGCACCAGGCTGCAGGCCACTGTTTGCTTTCACATGCAGGGGTGGCCCAAGACACCAAGAATTGACTGGCCTGGGGTGGAAGAACAAAGTTTTCCTGCTTCTATTCTTCCTTTCCTCCTCCCCAGTCCCACTGGGGAGGGAACAGGCAGCTGTGGTGCGTAGCTGCTCACCCGGGTTAACCACCAACAGGGGTGTGCAGCCCTGGGGAACCACTTCCACTCCAAAATAACAGCTCGAGGCCTCCTTCCTGCTGGGCAGATTCAGTGAGCTCCGTGAACACAGGTGGGTTTTCACAGGAAAATGTTGTAGTTAAACTTCAGAAGTAAACTGAAGCTTTGTGTTTGTTTTGAGCAGATGATTCCCTGGATACACCTTATCAAGTTTCTTAGTTTAAAAAAACTGCATTTTTAAATTACAATCTATATATCATGAAAGAAAAAAACAACAAAATCAATTTTAACTGGTGGAGAAACAGCAGCAATGTGGATTCCATGTTAAATGCTAAACTTCCTGAAAGTTACTGAAAAGAAAGGACTATACAAGTTTGACTTTTCCATAACTGCCAAACCAGAGTTGCTACCTGCACATAAAGTTCTGAAATTACTATTTGCAATGTTTCAAATTAAGTTCTAACAATGCACAGCTCCCACTAAAGTATCCTGTTAAAATTAAACCCAGGACAAATGCATTTTGATTTATAAGCATAATTATTTTTGGTTAGCTAAGAAAAACTGCATGAAAGGATTCGACATACAAAGGAACTGGGATCTCCATCCGAATTCTTGTTCTTGTGCAGCTACTGTGAATAAATCAAACTACAACATGAGCTTGAATAACTCTTTAACAGAACTGGCATAAGCAGTTTTTACAGGAATGTATTTGCTGCCAAATCTAGAGCAAGAAACATAGTTCTCAATGTTTTTTTTTTGTTGTTGGCATGAAATTTTGCTCCTTACTAGAAGGATGCGCTTCCAATGTAGAAGACATTACCAGTTCCATATGAACAAAAGAAATTAAATTAATTCCAACTGGCTGAATAAACACCTGTTTTGAAACTTGGATTCAGCAGTACTAAGTCTGTGATGATAAACTGTGTTTATAATCCACTTAGCTTTGCAAAGTAAAACTGGGTACACTCTGAGATTTTAAAGTTCATAATTTGGGGAAGATTCCATGGTAAATTAATTACACCAGACTCATAAGCAAAGCTGTAAAGTATATTATTCCTTGAATTATGTGACTTCCAAACAAAGTTTAACTTTTACATTTCCAGTACTTTACCTAACTGACCTTTAGTATGATTGTTTTCTAATGGAGAACTCTTGTCACAAAACATTAAAATTAAGTCTTGTTCAATGGCAGCTGCAAAAGATGGTTTGCCCTTTTGTGAAATTCTACACAATTTATACACAGCCTCACTGACCTTTTTGTAGCATAACCACTATGTGACTTCTCTGACATTTAAAAATCAAGGTAGGAACAATAACATAGTCTAAGCCATACCTCCTGCTGAAAGCTTTATCATGTAAAACGTTAAGCAATAATTAAGTCAGTAATTATAAATATGTATGAACATTAGAGTAACTCTACTTCAGTGCCCATCTAAGGAATTTAACCCTTTGCTCTTTGGCAGCCACACTTACAAAAAATGTTTTAAATTTAAAAAACAACTATCAGATGCAGTCCATAAAAGGAAGTTTCAAATACACTGGTTCCTCTCCAAATGCAGGACACATCCTTTGGGCTGGAAGAGGAAGAGAAGTAGCTTTGTGCATCACTGCAAATTGAGGAGGTTCAAGCAAGTGATTAATTTGAGAAAAAGGATGTCCAGAAAAAATTTTAGAAGTACTACGACTTACAGAAATAACCAATTTCTCTAAATGCGCAACAGTTGGGCTGTTCACAGCATTATACATGAAAAAAAAACCCTGAAATAGGCTGTCCTACGTTATTTGCTTTTCTTTCATTGACAATAGATACATGAGATCCTTGCTGATTTGTTTTGTTTGTTATCCTAGAGGCTGGGTCAGGCAGGAAAACACATTACCTACTCTCAAACTCACCATCCATTTATTTTCTGATAATATTATATATCCCTTGTGTATTCCATGAGTGTCTGTAACCTTCTATTCATTCTCAGGTAGTAACATAAAATAAAGAACAGGTCTGCATCTTGTATATAACTTTCAAAAAAAAAAAAAAAAAGGAAGAACATAGAAAAAAGTGAAACTTTGGGCAGTTATCGTATAATTAAAAAAAACAAAACAAAACAAAACACAGCCCTTATCAATTCACGATTATCTTGTGAGGATACAAAGCAAAAACCAGAAAGACAGATATTGTATCTAAGTTACTTTGAGATTTATTTCAATCTATTTTCACAATTTCATACGAAGACTTTTTGTTAAGAATGTTCTTCTCACCTGCTTTTCTACCTGACACTCATGTAAATTAACAATTGGCTGGTTTCCTCCTGATTTTTAAATTGAAAGCATCCAGTTATTTTAGCTTTGAGGCAATTCTGTACTTCAGAATACTCAATCTTGCTGACATAAGTTAAAAATGCAGAATTTTTATTGCATAATCATTAAAATGTTTAAAAACATGATACAATTTAATGTGACACTAGAATACTAACTCAAAGTATCACATTTTCATTAAAAATGTGTACAGTTGCCAATACAAAGAGTCTTGATCTGTTAAAATATTTTCTTTTAAATAAACAGCTAAGGATAAAAAAAATTATTGTGGCACTTTAGCAAATGAGATTTTTTTCTTTTTTTATTGCACATTATAATGCTCAAATCAATACAGGTTCATCAGTAGCAGGGGATATTCTTTCAATCATATCATATTTGCAGGGCAAATCATCTCACACTTTCAAAAGCAGCTCAGGTTAGGGTGTCAGTCGTTTGGGATCCCGTGGGAACATGGAGGTCTGACGAACATTATGCAGCCCTAGGTACAGCATGGTTACTCTCTCCAGCCCTACAAGAAATGAAAAAAACCCATCAGCACAGTCAGCCTTTTGATCAAAAGTCTTAAGAAGCTGAAGGTACTATATACCTACAGCCAGCCTCAGGCAGTAATGTGACCAAAGACTGAGATGTATGGATTAGCATGTCTGACTACAGAGAGGAGCTAGAACCAGAAATTAGAGATTTTACATACAGTGCCTTCTGCCACAATACAGAGTTCATTTGGAACATGCATCAGTAAGCAGTGGTACTAGAGACTCAACCCGGCTCTGAATCACTTCAGTCTTCCAAAAAAGATGGTGTAGAAAATTGAAACAGGGTGCGGGTAGTCGGGAGAACTGTATCTTGAATACAGGAACTGAAGCATAGTCCAAACCAGTCTTAAAAGCTTCAGAGTAAGCGACATGAAGTGCCATAAGCAACTACAGTAAAAACCTACAGTTGGGGAAGTTTATACCAAACCTTCCTACAGTACAACAATGCAGATTCAGCAAAACATACCAAAGTAATTATCTGCTGATATGTTTAAGATAGTAAACATTTCACTGGTCATAGTGTTCTTCCGTCCTGAAATCTTAAGAGGTTGTGTTTGTACTGTGGAACATGGAAAGACTTCCTAACCCGTCGGGCTACATGTGCACCACAGCCATGCTGAGATGAAACCCAGATGCATCCCAGTGGTCACACACTGCCCTCCTATGTTAAGGTTTCCATTGGAAACAGCTAGAAACCAGTGTTAATTAACCATGTCACAGCATCTCCTGTTTAGCTGGTACTTGACCTGATCTCTGGGATGTGCCATGAGGAGCATTTACTCTGCAGAAGAGATGTGCTACATCAAGCTTTCAGCTTCCTTGATGTCAGTTCTAACCAGCCTAAATGATTTTGGACCAGCTGCAAATGCTGCATCTCCTCCGCTCACAAGTACTGCATGATCATCGACACATCTTGTAGTTATTTCAAAACAGTTGTCTCAATAGAGGATTGCAGATCTAATGCATTTACTGAAGGCATACTTGGGAAGTTGTTCTGGGAACATGCTGAGAATGTACTAAATATACTTTACAGAAGTAAGGCAAATGCAGAAAGGCTGAATCAAAGAAATCATTGTGTTTATTGATCAGGACCTGCAAAGTATCCTATTTCCATATGCATGAACAGATTTCATCCTGCTAATGAAAACAAGGTGCATAACTAAATTGTAATCATTAAGATGCCTAAGACCTATCTTTTTTTTCATTTTAATGTGTAAAATACTCTTACCCGAGGCACGAAGCCTCACCTTTGCTGAAACGATTAGCATCAGCCAAACTATCAGTGACATTCAGTCAAACCACTGAATAAGACAGAAGCAATCGCTTATTTCTCCTCACTGCAGAACAGCTTCATCAAATACACTAACAGACCAGTAGCTTCTGCTATTAGTAGGCTATGACAAATCCATACATGATACAGTATTTTCTTGATTCCTTAAATTTTCCTCATTGGTCAAATTTGAAAGTGATGTGCCTGGTTAATAAATTGGCATTTTTTTTCTTCTGATCACCTACTTTTGAAACTTGCCAGACTGTGCCATTAATATTTTGCCTATTTATTCTATGATGACCCTTACATTTTAGCGTCTCTCCTTAAATTCTCCAGGATCAACAGCCCCACACATTCACCTAACAAGGCTACTATTCTGAATTTTATTTTGAACACTGTTTGAGGCTGAGCAGTTTAAATTAAGCTCAGGCTAACACATAACAAAATAAAATACAGATACTTACCTATTCCACCACCTGCATGTGGAGGTGCACCAAAACGAAAGGAATCGATATAAGCCTTTATTTTCTCCAAATCTAGAGAGAAAAAAGATATGTTTCTCACCTTCTTAATGAATACCAAGCCAAAGATACAAGTGACTAGAGGACTGCAAACACAACAAAAAAACTTACCAATTTATCTTACAATCTAACAGTGAAGTTTTGCTCATTAAACATATAAATTGTCCAGGACTACATAGAAATTATGACTATAACAGGGTTTTTTTTATAATTTTGTTATTATCTTAATCAGGGAAAAAACTCTAGAACTGAGTAAGAGCCAGACCCAACTGTTCATTGTAACTTATGGAGAATGGTGACTTTTTGAAAAACTGCAGTGAGAAAATGAAGATTTAGCAACTATTTTTCCATCTTGCTACAGTGGGACCTACTCCTTTTTTGCTACTGCCTACCTGCCACTTTGCCATTCACTGAAAGCAAATTCTAATCTACATTTTACTCTTCTGATCTTCACCTAATTTACTCTTTTACCCTTCTACTATTAGCTGATCTTGTCTCTGATGAGTCTTCTTTTTATTTTTTAAAATTTCACCAATTTACACTTCTTAATTTCTCTCAGTTCAAGATTTAAAAAGGACAGCCAACCAAGACTCTAGTTCTAGAGTACTCTGTAAAATGTGAAACTACAGAGAGGCACGACTGAACAAGACTGGTTTGTCTATCTTCATTCTGTTAAAGGTATTTCTTGCATTACATTCTCTCTAAAGTACTCAGAAACAATTCCTTTTCATCAAGTTGTTCAAACAGAATTAAATAAATTAAGAATAAAACACTAATGTGAATTTAGCACTACTGTCATATAACTAATTCTGCCCAACATTCTTCCTCTATTGGAAACAAATCCAACCATGATTTATATTCTTTTAAATTCAGCTTCTTGTTGTTTGACTCGTTACCAATGCCGTGATGCTGGGCTCTTTCTGTCAGCAGCTGAGGATCATGAATTCTCTGAGCTCCAGACAAGATCTCTTCCCCTCTCATGAACATATCATAAGAGTTAGAGTTTTTCTGGAAAAACAAAGATGAGTTTATTTCCTGCCTACATTTGCTCCATCCCTACTTAGGTGGCAAATATACACCTCTCAATAACTTCACTTATGATATTCAAAGCTGTGCAGTAAGAGTGCAGTGTCTTCCCGGGAATCACAGCCCTTTCGCTCCTCTCATTACACTGGAGTTGATTTAAAAACCTGAAGTTCACCCACACACCCACTGAAAAACCATTACACTTGCATGTAGTTACCCCGTCAAAAGATGCTCTACAGATATTTACCTTGGATTAAGGAATAAACTGGGGAATTTCTGAACATGTGAAAAAGCATATTTTCTGTTAAAGTGTCTGTTGCCCTGAATGAATGTTTTGCCTCTTTTCAGTGACGGCAGTAGTTCTCTCACCATGGAGATCTCTTCATAAAGCTCTCCCAATTTTAGCTAGACTTGTTTCTTTCTGGTATGTTTTCACCAGTGGAAAGTAACTGTAAACCTCTTATAAGTCATGTAAAATTGACTTAATCTTGTTACCAGAATTTTATTTATAACAGCAGATCATATAAATACTTTATCTATTTTGTCAAGTTATCCCTACACAGAGTAATTTAAACTACAAAAAAAACCCATTGACAACAACAAAGAATTTTACTCACGGGGTTTACTGGGTCTGGCATTGTATAAAAAGGCCTCACAGCAAGAGGGTATTTGTCAAGAATATAGAAGTCCGTGTCATACTAAACAAAGGTAATTTAAAACAGTTAGTAGAACAGAAAATGATGTAATGAACAAATTACAAGAGAAAGACACAACCAGTACATCTTTGAAATAAAATTTAAAAGTATCTCCCAATAACTTTCCACAAATTGGACAGTATTATCTTAAAAAATAGTAGTTATCAATAAAATCAGTGTATTATTTTTCAGTTTTCCAATACTACTTCTACTGTAAACTTACAAATGTTTAGCAATAAAATGCCTTGCTGTAGTAACAGGTACTTATTTTTTTTGCCAGAGATCTCATCATCTCCTACAGATTTAGTTAGAATCTGGTTTGTTGTTTTCTTTTTTTAATTATCATAAAAACTGGTATTCAAATGTACTGTTCTTTTTTTGGTGTACTCAGTATAACAGACAACAGAAACAAATATAAAAGATTGAAAATGGTTTGAAACATCTTATTAATGATAAAGACAAGACTGTAAGTAGATGAAATAAGCAGCACCAAAATGGGAATGCAGTCAGACAATTAGAAAATGCTTACGCTAATCCTAAACTCTTCACAACTTCTTCATGTTCAGAGATACTGTATTTTCAGTGTGTAAAAAGTTGTTCTACAAAGAAGTAGGCATTTATACCAACCCAATAACCCAACGACATCAGATTTCAGATTTGGTGACAAATTTACGTTTTCTAAAATAATTGTTACCTTTTCCTTTACCAGGCGTCCCAGGAGCTTTTCATTAGGTGTGCTGAAAAAGATTATCACCATTAAAATTAATTGATTTAACTTGTACTGATTAAATACTTCATAAAGCTAAAAAGACTTGAAGTGACAGATCTGCTGCCCTTTACAAAATCTAGTACTTGCTTCTGAATGTTTTGGACTGTCCAGACACAAACTTCAGAAATAAAGTATATTTATTTCTGTTCCTAAATATTTTGTACTGCTCTTAGAAATCCATTAAACTAACTGATACCTAAAGATACTCTTGCTCTTAATATAGCTATTTCCTAGTCATCATATTCTGACTACTGAAGAATTGTGTACTGTATTTCCTCTTGGCATATCTTGTGCAACCATTTCTTCTTAGGCACCATAAGTGAGAAACACCGTAAGCAGCTGCTGAGGAAATTATTTTCCTCTATCAGAGTCTTACAATTGAAGCTTCTTTGATACAGATTGTTTAACTCTAAAACCAGACATTATGGTACTGGATATATTATGGGAAAGAACAGAACTGTTTTCATATATTAAGTGTCTTCAGAAAAGTTGGTATATAATCAGTTAGTTAAACCCATCTTCCAGTAAATCAATGGGAATGTGATCATAATTGCTTAATCATTTTCCTGGGAGGTGGAAAGAAGTGGGAAGGTGTTACTGAAAAGAAAGACCTTAAGACTGAAGAATCTTTTTGTTTAATCCTATTCAAAGACATGTTGCAATTCACATGAAGGACTGCAATTATTAGAAAATGCTTCTTATCCTTAGAAGCTTCAAGTTACTCTCACTTTATGATGTAAGTAATTTTCTTTTGGATTTCAGTTTGTACGTATAGTCTACACTGAAAGAAAGGGCTATTTTCAAATCCATTCATTTATCTGTCAAGAGATCTGGACATGAATACCATTTATTCCTCCAAAAGCTTGTGGTTCCTTCCTGAGGGCTGTCAGTTGCACAGTACAAAACTGACACTTCACTACCACTCTCACAAGACTCTGACACGTCTGTGTACTGCCAAAGTACCTTAGATCTTCTTCATCTCCCATCTCAACACCAGCCTCTCTAAGCATGGCCACAGCTTCACGGTATTCCAGCCTCAGAGTTGGCTCCAAAAACTTAAATGGCTCACATGGGAACTGTTTGTTCACTGTCTGAATTTCAGTTTGGAATCTATACACAAGGAAACAAGAACAGAAGCAAAATACAAAACAATCAAGACCTCTACTCTTCTGGCACCCAGTAATGATTTTGCAAAGGCAATACAATTTTGCCACAAGAGGTCCCTCTTGCAACATAAAAAACTGTTTTAAACCACTTCTGCAGAAATTCCGCACAATCCTAATGAAATGTTTCATGTAAGTTAATGCATCTACTTCAATGATACACATGTTAATATTTTACTATTACTTCTGATTGATTTATTTTGTAAGAAATAATTGACTAGGTCAAATTTTCACAGTAAAGACATAGAGAAATCACTTTGATCTGTAATATTAACGTGGGTTCTTCTTTGATTGGAGTAATATCCTATTTCAAATAAAAAAAGAGACATTTCCTTCTAGACAGATGAAAAGATTTGCATTTCTGCTGGCAAGATAATCTAATTTGTAAGCAAATGAAAATCACTTCCTAAACTTCTGGCCTGGCTTTTTAATGAGTTAGACTGTGAATAATGGAAAATAATCTTTGTTGCTTTCATGGCAGAGATGCAGGCTGTTACAATAAATTTGATTCAGAAAAACTTTCTTAGATAGTAAATATTAGGATTAATTTCAAAATAGAACAATCAGTCTACCTGTGGTGGCACAAAAAGAAGGACATTTTCAATTAATGATGGACCATTTCTGATAGGAAGTCCATTCAACAGTAAACAAAAAGTTTTCTTAGTGCAAGCTAACACTCTAGGAGATGGCTAAAATCTACTCAGGCTAAAAATAGCTTATTGGCCTATGGCTTGAGTGAACTTTAAAAATCAGGCACAAAGAAATAGCTAAGAGTGAAGCAAAAATGTTTGTTACAAAGTTCTGTTTTAAATCAGTTTACTAATGATTATCTGACAAGCTGAGGATAAAATGCTCACCCATTTCACACCACAGTGCAAGAGATCTCAAACAAATGAAGCTGCTCATGAAATGGAAAACGCTCTCATTACCTTTCCTGAAGTCCCTTGAATATCTGCACCAAGGTATCTGCAATCTCATCTACCACTTCATGATAGTGATAGTTAAAAGCCATTTCAATATCCAGACCAACAAACTCAGTCAGGTGTCTGTGTGTATTGGAGTCCTCAGCTCTAAAGACTGTAAAATTAAACAACAGAAATTCTAACTGACCTGAAATTATCATTCCATTTTGAAAAATAACATTGACAATCAATCACATCAGCATTTGGATCAGGCAGACAATGCTGTCGTGAGACATGACAATTCTCACTGAAAAACAAGAAGAAAACTAGCTGCCTCAGAGCATCATTTATAACAACAGTGACAGCATTACTGTAGCTATGGTGCTCAAAGGATACAAGACAGACAAGACTTGCAGAGAGGCAGTATCTCTTGTTAGACCAACAGACAGAAGTGGAAAAAACAGACAAGCTTTCAGGCACACAAGAACTTTCAGATTTGAAAACCACCTTTTTCAGAGGAAACGGACTTGTGCACGTGTGTGTATGTTTTGGTTTAGTTTTCTTTTCATATATATGAGTCTAACACAAACATGTCTTCCTATAAACCATGACTCATTTGTTAGTAATTAACAAGAAATTTAAGATCTTCTGAATTACTTGCATATTTTCTATATTTTAGAAGCTGCTATTAACTTGTTTTCCAGTATTCCCAGCTTTTGTATCTTTAAACCTGTCTTTGAGGTCTTAAGGAAAAAAATGCTGTATTACTACCTAAAGAGGCGATGTCGTATCAGCTTTTAAGAAAGAGAGAGCACGAGACTGGAAATTAATAATTTTTATTATTTACTGACTGCCCATAAAAAGTACCCGTTTTCTAAAGAAAGCTGTTTGGTACACATACAAAGCAAGGGATAAGTATATGTTGATATGCAACATGAAGTACATAAAACCTAGCTTGCCTATTTTAACTGCTTACTACTGGGCAACTAGGCAACTACTGGGCACAGTTAATAGGGAACTGTGGCTTCAGCAATCACAGTGGTGTTCCATGTTTTACTAACTTCATCATATTATCAATTTCCAATGCAACTCTATTCTTTCTCCTCACAGAACAGCAGGCACTGCAGAAGAGTATTCCACCCATATTTCAGCATTTTAATTTTTTTCCAGCAACTTCTCTGTCAAGTTTACTCTCATTAGTCACCCCAACTGAAATTTGTGTTTGGTAAGCGAAACTATATTAAGTGAAACCATTCAAAGCTTTCGGTGTGCATGTTATCTTATTTCTACCACATCTGCTAAAAGCCATCACTGCACACTTCACACTTTGGATACACCAATGCTTTTCTTACCTGGCCCAACGCAAAAAACCTTTTCAAAGTCAGCACATATACACATCTGCTTGTACAGTTGTGGGGACTGAGCCAGGTAGGCACTGCTTTTGAAGTATGATACAGTAAACACATTGGCTCCTCCTTCACTGGCAGCTGAAAAGCAAATGCTTGCAATAAATATTAAAATAAAAAATCAAAAGATAAATTAGAAGTAGAACAGTAAGACTATTGGTCTTATATTCAGAGACCAGAAGGAGACTTTTCTTCAAAGCATATTAGAGGAAAAAGATATATTTGTATCCATTAATGCTAAAGGAAGTTTTGCTGCTCAGGACTGTCACACATTGTCTTACAAATCTGCAAATTTAGTTGGGGTAGTTTAAAATGCTACTATTTCCAGCTGTCCTTCACCTTAGAGTGAGAGCAGCAGAGAATGCATGCTTATACCACCACATCTACCTGCAGCCCAACATTTCTGTGGAAACCAATCTTTTATCAGTGATACTTCCAGGAGTTAACTGCAGAAGCCAAAATGAAAGTGCATATCCTGTTTTGCCAGGGCCATCCTCTCTAACTGAAGGCATAAATATCTTTCAGAGCCAAAACTAGATTTACCAGAGGACATCTGCCAAAGGTATAAAGCTTCTTCTCAGTTTGAGACAGTTTTCATAGAATGTTGCCTTGAGAGAATAGGAACTGAGAACACATGTATCTGAATCCCTTACTGCAAACTGCCTACCAAAACTATCAGCTGAGTCACCTTACCTTTCCATTTCCCAGTGTGTGCTATGAGAGTTACAGTTGCTTAACTTCCTAACAAAAGCATGCCGGAGTGAAAGATTGGTTAATAATCTTTGAAAGTTCTAATGTTAAGATAACTCTAGGTGAAGTACTAATTATTATTATTACTAACCATTCCACTGAGATTAATGTTTCTTTTCTTTCATTACCCCTACTCCCACTGAACTGGTTTTGGTAAATTTTCATTTATTCTTGAATACAGGTAACTTTTAAAATCTCAAATCTTAGAACAGCTATGATATTTAAATTTGAAGTTTAGTAGGAATGCATCAACTTAGTTATTTTTACAAAATATGATCTCATTCAAACAATAGGATGCTTGCTTGCTTGCTTTCAATGGTACACTGCACAGTAAGAATAGCACACTTCCTCAAAGGTCCTACATAAATAAACTACTTGGGAGCCTTTAGTGTTTCATACTGTTTCAACTGTCTCTGTAGGAAAGAAGTTGTCTAATCTTACAGTTCAACAGTACTTTCCATGTTGAAAGAACAGTTGCTTACATGTATTTTGTTAAAAAGCCCTTTTTTTATCTCAGTCAAGAACTACCTTCAAAAATATAAACAGAAGTATAAAATTCAGTAGGCAAAAGTATGCATATAATGAGTGCACATACAGTGAGAGTAATACAAATATTGCACCATACATTTTCCATGCTGTATGTCTTTGTGACATCAACAAAACTTCAAAGAACAGCAATAAGATGGAAGAAAGACATCCATCAGTAAGTCAAGTAATTTGAGTTTTGAAAACCATACAGCAGATCAACAACTGAACTTGAATCCAAATCTGCATTTCCAGACTTTTAGTTGGGCTAAAGCTGTTATGCCACATTTTCAGAAAAATGATCTACCACTTCCATTCAGCCATATGCTTATTGCTAAAGAAGTGACATATTGTATATAATGGCATCATCTTGTATATCATGATATGTTGGCTGTAACTTCTTTATGATGGAATCTGCTTTTAATCTAAATTAGAGTTGGGTTTTTTTGGATACTGGGAATGGAACTGGTGGTGCTTAACACTAAGAACACTGGTTTGAAGAACAATGCATACGATCAGATAACTGTATTTAACCAAATTAAAACTGTAAATGCACCGCACGTTACATAAATCAGATATATGTAATATTTGCCTTGTCATTCTTTTAACATCCAAAGTCAAGAGAACAGTAAAGAACAACTCAGATAGATACCTGCTAAAAGTTTGCTATGTTGCATCTAAATTAGAAATAGAATTTTATCTTTTTAAATAAAAACTTACTAAATTTTTGGCAGATAGATACGCTGAGCAAGTGTAAAAGAACCAGACCTGTAGCTGCTAGATGACGTATACAATACCTGAAATGATTTTGGGAGTCTGAATTTCCACAAATCCCTTGCGAATAAGAGTTTCTCGGAAAAGCTGACAAATACCAGACTGAAGGCAGAAGATTGCCTGACTAGTAGAGGTCTATAAGAAGAAGATAAAATAACGAAACCTAAGTTAGTTTTTCCTGACTTTTCTTTTTTTGGATAGCTGGAAGGGTAAATATCTTCCCTTAGGAACACCTGATTATTGTATTTGCCTAAACAGAGAAACATGCAAATCGATAATTGTTTATCACACAAAAAGAAGCAGTAAAGGAAGCAAGATAAATTCCTCATTTCAATTTATGGCATATTCAGATAGAAAGGAGCGACTACAGTCAATTCTACATTTAAAGAATCACTGATTTATGACATGTGCTTCTGCAAATAAAGGTTTTATATTAAGAAATTGAAAAAAAAACACTAAACCTATTAAAAAGCCTTCAGCACACTGAACCAGAACAGTTGCAGTAATATACAGTGCATGATAAAAGCAAAGCCCTCAATAGCTTATGTAAGGTAGAAATGTTTGTGTGTACTAAAGGTTACCAAATACAATGTTTTTCATGCAAAAAACGCAGCCACTTGTTAACCATATACAACACTGCCACAAAAACATCCCCAAACCAAGGTCTAAACTCTCAGCATTTAAAGCAGTCCACATAACAGCTAATCATATGAACTGCAGTTCTCTCTTTTCAAAATTTATTTTAAAAGTACATTTAGCTGAAAACAAAAGTAGATTTCACTGAATTGATCATAATCTTTTTGTTTATGTACGTGACACAGTTAAGCTACTTAAGCTAGCAATTACCTACACTAAATGTTCCTGTAACACTCTTGGGCTTTAGTGTGAAAAAAAAAAAAACCCTTAGTGAATGCTGAAAACACTCCAATACGTCAACACTGAACCCATATCTGATTTTGTGCCTGCAGCATTTTAAGACCTGACAGTTAGCAACCTAGAAGCGTATATAAAACCTAACGAATTCTTGCAAACAACTAAGAGAAAAGTTCTTTGCGACAATGTGCGTCATAGCACTGTTTACTTCTCCTTTCTGAAAGGTACCCAACTTTTCAGTTAGGGCAAGAAGAGCCTTGTGGGCTTTTTCACATGACTCCTACCAAACCACAAAACAAAACACCCCCAACCAAAACAAATTATATTAGCACCCAATTTAGGCAATCAGTCAGTAGATACACTGAAATAAAGCGACATCCATCATCCCTGCAAGATAAAGATATCATTTCACTGAAAAACCAAAAGAGAAAATTGTAACAATATTGCAGATCTGTAGTAATTTGGAGTTACCCGCAATTTTAGCTGACTGATAAAATATCTCAGGAGTATAAGTGGTTCAGACTAGCAAATAATAGCTAGCAGCTCTTACTGTCTGATAGCATTAACCACAGCCACTACTCCCACTACTTTGAAAATGAAGGAAATGAGGCTTTGAGCAAGTTACAAAAGTACCCTCAAACTTTTTCACCTTTTTTACACAGGTCTCCCCGAATCAGACATGTGCTAACATTTTGCCTGAGCTCTGGGCATAATTTGGCACTGTTACATCAAAGCACTGGGATGATTCAAAGGTGGTTTGTTTTTTTTTTCCCTTAACTATCTCCTACTTAGAAAGTGAAAGACATTTTCCAAGAGATGATAACTTAGCCACATTTGGATTTACCAATACAGTTTTTGATAAACTAGTCAAATTTCTAAAAATCCTAAGAGACAAGATGTGTAACATTTATTTAAAGCAGGATAGTAACAATGCCTCTTCTACCCTTCTGATGAACCAACACCTGCTTCGTGCCAGAGCAGGTAAGAATGCAGTCCTAAATCATACACTAGGAAAAAGAAAAGCCGTTGCTAAACTCAATCTGAAAGCAATTACTTGGTATGGCCCGAAAGTGTGCACAGAAACACAGCCAGTCAATAACTAACACAGTTCTCCAATAACAACAATTCATCAGCTGGTAACTCCTCCTGGCTCTAGTAAGGATGCAGAACACAGATTCTGTCTTCCTAATCTCATTTAGAACGATAAATTATGCTTAAAAAATAGTATTTATGACAACAGCCAAATTCACAGAACTGAACGCTGAAGCTTTTACTTCACTACAGACGAAAGAAAGAACAAGCAGCAATTCTCTGTACCTCAAATCAAATCTGACAAGACCACTCTTCCCTCTACAAAAGGTAGCTGAGTTTCAGTGCCCACTCATTCAGGGACTGCCAGCAAGGATAACTGTTGAGAATTTGTGATACTGCGGTCTCCTTGTAAGAATTAAACAGACCAACAAGACATCTGAGATAAGCTCCTGAAGTACTGCAACTGTCAACGTGCAGTGGAATCAAATGGATGACCTCAAAAGTTTTATGCCACTACAACTTTCCAAAGATTTTAAAGATGATTCTGTATCTACACATGGAGCAAAACTTTTCCAATTTAATTACATCCTTTGCACTGGCATAATGTTTAGGACAAAAAGAAAGTGAATTTATCTGAAGAAAATGTCCTGGGTTGAGTGAGTGGTGGAGTTTTTTGGTGGCAGGGGAGGGGGCTATAGGGGCGGCCCCCTGTGAGAAGCTTCTCGAAGCTCCCCCAGCTCCACTTCTGTTTGGGAAATTGAGCCAATCGGCTGCGCCTCTGCGATAACGTATTTAAGAAGGGTCGTGGTGACGGGCAGGGGGACTTGTAAGGAGGAGTTGCTGCAGCTGCATGAACACCAAGGTCAGTGGAGGAATGGAGGAAGAACGGAGGGGGGAGGTGTGCCGGAGCAGAGACCCCCCTGTATCCTGTGGGGAGACAGCAGGGCGGCCCCCCCTGCCACCCATGAAGATCTACGGTGGAGCAGACGTTGATTTATGGCCTGTTGCTCCTGCTCAGATGATCAAGGTTCTGTGCCCGAAGAAGGCCGGGGTCTCATGGGAAAAGGCAGCCCCGCTGCTGTAATTCAGTGCTGGGAGGATTGCAGCATGCGGGGGAGTCCCACGCCGGAGCAGCTCGGGAAGGGCTGCAGCCGTGGGAGAGAATCCAGTCGGAGGAAGTTAGTGACCCATGACGGAGCAGTGTGGGGAACGCTGCGGCCCATGGGAGGAATTCATGTCGGAGAAAGTTTGTGGAGGACTGTCTCCTGTGAGAGGGGGACCACGATGGAGCAGGAGGAACAAGTTCCGGACACTCCCCTCACCGAACATGAATGAAGTGGCAGCACTGACTGCACCCCCCATTCCCTGCCCCTGCGCCGCTGGGGGAGGAGGTAGAGATATCGGGAGCAGAGCTGAGCCCGGGAAGAAGGGAGGGGTGGGGGGAAGGTGTTCTCAAGATGTGGCAATGCTTCTCACTGTCCTACTCTGTTATGTGTTGTTAGTGTCTGTAATAAATGTATGTTCTTTTTTTCTTCCCCTAACGAGTCTGCCTTTTGCTCGTGACCATAAAGAGGAATTTTCTCCCCATCCCAGTCCTATCTCGGACCCCAAGCCTGGCTCTCTGTCCCTTCTCATTGCCGGAGGGGAAGGGAGAGAGAGCTGCTGCATTGTGGTTGGCTGCCAACCAGGCCCAAACCACGACAGAAAATAATTCAAGCTGCTATCCTGTCTTTAACTGAGATGCTGGTATGTGTATTACCACATTTGGCACAGTGGTAGGTAACACAGTTACCATCTGAGATATCACACTTAGGTACAACACAGCAAACTAAATACATAGACAGCTGTCAAAATTAGTTGACTTTTACCTTTGCCTTAAAAAGGATTTTGCCATGGCATTCTTTTCTTGTAGTGTTTACTCTAATATGAACTCTTTCACATACATATGGACAAACTATCTTATCTGAGACTGTGGCAGAGACAGTAAACATTCCTTCAAGTGTTAAGCAGAAACAGAAACAAAGTTATGCCACTTAAATGCCATTGCAGTTAACAGTGTTAATGTTTTAACTCTGTCTGCTGAGTTAATTTTACAGGAAAACTCATTATTTTTAATAATCACCTTTATTACAGAGAGCAGAAAAAATGTCTAGCTAATAATGCTGAAATATGAGTTTCAGTCATAATCTCACTCTAATTTCACCTGTGTGCTTATTACTTAAATACCACAAAGGAAAATATTAATAATAATAGAACAGACCCTATTTCAACACTATAAGCAAGATTATAAAAACAATCGTCATGTCTCATTCAGCACGAGCTCCAGTGTTAGAATAACAGCCATGTAAGTTGCCAGAGACCAACAAATGTGTTTCAACAGAATTGAGGACAGTTAACAGCTTACATGACCATATCTCAAAGAGGTGCAACTGAGGTGCAAAGTTGTGAACTTTCCTTTTTACTCTCACCTCAGCTACAGAATTTGTTCCACTCTCACCTCAGGTTTGCTTTTCTGTTTGTATGCTGTAACTACCTATCTTCCACCATGCACAGTCACTAAATACATAAAAGTAGGTTAAATGAAAAAGGGAAAATAATGTAATGTATGCTCTTTTAAGTAATATACATTATTTTAAATAATGTAAATAATTTTGCAATTCCTCTACTATATATGTGAGAAATTAAGGTTTTGCTAGGACACAGGATTTATGTTAAATAATGAGTTTTTAGCCCCAAAGTGACTCAAGTCAACTTTTCAACAAATTTCAATATTACTTACAGTATTAGAAAATACGAACATAAAGTTTGTTGACTAAACAACTGGAAAATTGTACTATGTCTTCACTACCAAATCACTACCCACAATAAACTGTAAATCTGCTTGTTCATTACAGCTTGAATTCAGTCAGGAAAAACACAGTTTTTGCAATGACTAAATTGAATTCAACACAATGAAATCAAGCTTGAAGTAATCCAGTATTTTGAAAAAAACTTCATTAAGATCAGTGTACAGCTGGATTACCATATAACATAGTTTGACATCCATAAACTACTAAAGATACACTTTAACATTTATGCTCTATCCTGAGCAATTTCAACAGGGTAATATTGACCCTAAAAAGACTATGCTTTGATCTCAGTGAGCTGTGCATTAGCAGACACAATTATAGCATCAGGACTACAAAATGGATATAATTCAAGTTAAATTTGGACAGATACTGTTAAGATAAAAACCCTGCTGGACATCAAAAAAAAGCCAGAGGAAGGACATCAGTCAGGTCCATCGCTAAAACTGGATGTCCCTGAACTGATTTCTTCTTCAGAGGAAGACAAACTAAGAAGCAAAACCCCAAAATCTGTGTTTCACTTGTCTTTTCTTCATTGTTTTTCATCTACCACAGATCTTCATGAAATATGGTTTCTGTAGGTGTTTTCACAGACATGGAAAGTCTACACATCACTCAATACTTCAGTTAAGCTTAAGAACAGCAGAAAAGTAAAGATTTAAGAACACAATCAGTGCTCCCATTTGTCTTTTTCAATTGTTTCAATAAAGAAACAGTAAATCAAACATCTCTAGAATCAGCTGGTTTGACTTCCATTAAGGTATCATGAAAAACAGATACTTAGGTCAACAGTGGTTTCCTCACGGTCACCTGTGGTTACGTGAAAGAAAATCTGGTCTATATAAGGACTCTGCTTTCTTCTCACCATCTCCCTTGACTCTACACCCCCAATTTTTCTACTCCACAAGTATGTCATCTGTCTTTTATGAATTAACCCATCAGAAACAGATTAATTCTTCCTCAGTCATCATTCCTTGGAAAGGGTTTTTAAAACACATCCACCCTAAATAATCACCATTTTCCCTCCATCAGAATAACAACTACAGCAATAGCTTGGGATCTTGGCATTTAAGTACTTCCATCCTTAACCTAAAAAAACCCCACTGGACGCCTCTGGGAGATCTTTGTTAGCAACCAAAATGCAAGATTGTTAAAAATCCAGTGCACTATCTGGTCTATTTTCACATGTACACAAGAATGGAAGTCTCGCAATTTTTGTAGAATATTTTGCATATTACTTCTACACCAATGTAATTTCCTTATTGTTAACTGCACTCCCTTCTACTGAATCATAATCAAACTCTCTTTGGTATACATCATAGCCAGATGGAGTGATGCTATTTTTGGAAATCCAGTCCCTTTCATTTATGCAATAACTGAGTTTCACAGCTCCACTTTATCATGACTTGGCCCTATTCAATGAGCTCACTGGTTAATCACTACTTAAAATTAGTTAAACTACCTAATTACTTTAAAAACTATATTTAAATGGACAAAAATAATTTTAGTTCCATACTAAGAACTTTTTTTTAGTCTGAGTCTAGCCAAGATTTACGCATTTAGTTTGCTAAATCTTTCTCCAAAAAATAGTATCGCTATTTCTGATGTTCAGTGACCTCCTTAAAAAACTGGGGCACTGAGGAAACCAGAACTATACGGTACATTATCTGTGGTTGGACTTCCTCCCACACTTGCAGGAACAGATCATCACAGCATCTCTGTTAGAACTGTTTTGTTAACATTTCTTCCCTGCTGCCCAGGATTTGGTGTTCCTAGAAGGAAGAAGAGGTATGGGAGAGCAGTGGCTAACAATGGTTTCAGATATCTCTCTGAATTTTTAACACATCATGTCTTCTAATCTTCCTTAGAACATGCCTACTTATGCAGTGCATTTGAAACACTAGGGGCTCTCTGAAGTCCCATTTGTACTACAGCTCTAGCCTATGCAACCAAATAACTGAAAATCAATTACTACCTTTTGGAGGGAGATTTTTTCAGTTACTCTGAAGAACAAGCTGCCTTTGTATCCCTGCTCTTGTGATTCCACTGCATATAGTGCTTAGGACATACTTATATATAAGCACCTGTATTCTCAATGGGATTTACCCTTTCTCCATTAAATACCTTTTCTGCTTATTCAGCTTTCCCTTTCAAAAAAAAAAAAAAACAGGTCGAAGTAACACATAATTATTTAGAATCTTCTTTTCCAAAGCAAACTTGATGAAAAGGCATGAGTCTACTGTTCCAACATAATCTGCTTTTGTTCTGAAACAAATAAGAAACATGCAACAGAAAAGACACACAGAAATGTGACAGTCAGAGAGAAACTTAGAAACTTTTCCCGTACATAGGAGAAACGCAAGAGATACCTGAGCCTAATCAAGGGAAAGCTGTGGCCAGATTACATCCAGCCACAGATGCATGCAGAGGACGAGACATAAGGCACTGAAGTGCCACTGAGCTTTCACATTTCATCCTTCCATCAATTTAATCAAAAGCTAACCTGAATTCCCATTCAGCATCAAAGAGGTGTTTAGCACCACACTGCGGCAGCTGTTGGAGCCAAGGAGAAAAATAGCTTCTATAGAAGGCAGAAATAAAGTTCAGACCTCAAAACAAGGTGCCAAATATTGCTGAAGAAATGGTGTACCAACAATGGTTGGGACAAATAAGTTAGAAAAGGTTACAGCAGCATCCACTCAGCTCAATAGCTGTACCATCCAGGCAGAATACTGACAACTGATATTCTATTGGGAGAGTCCTGCAGGACTGCTGTATGTGTACAGGGATGGAAGAATTTTAGTTCACCCCTTTCTGTTCCATCTCGTGTTTATTCTGGTGTAACGGTTTTCCTTCTTTTTCCATTACTGTACACCTTTTTAGGTTTTACTCTGCAGATGACCTCATCTGAATTACATCCAAGGACACATTCGTGACATTATTTTCAGCCAGTATTTTTAACTGTTATTTCCCTTTGTATTATTGCTCTGTTCTCTTTGGGGTTCATGGCTCTTCCCAGTTTATCATGCAGGTATTTAATTAATTTAATGGATTTTCTTAGGTTTCTCTGGAACGCTGTTGAGTATTTTAGTTCATCACCAGAAGTTCAAGTAAAACCTGCACTTTGAGCATCCCAGAGTTCTCCCTTCAATTTAGTACACTGCCTTACTCTACCATAAGCCGTTGATCCTTTAAATTATTTTTACTTTCAACCATTAGTATAGAATTCTTTTAATCAAAGGCTTAATTTAAGACACAGATGAAAAGACCAATATGATGAGATACTGAATATCCTGAAAAGTAATCAGAAATTGAAGTTGCTCAGTATTATATATAAGGTCAAGTGAAAAGCAATTAACTTTGGTCCAAGTAAAATAATTTGCATAAGTAGTTTTAGTTGCTGAAATAAGGAGATCAGGTGTTCAAATGCTTCAAGCATCTAAGTGCCAGAACTCTTCCAAATTTTCCAGTAACTGACTTTTTTGTTTCATTTCTGAGAAACTGCCTTTATTGGAACTCTGAAGGCAGTACTAGATACACCATAAGATAAGCACACTCCTCATTCAATGAAAAGTTAATCAAAGTTTTTGTGGAGAGCCAAATATGGGAAAGGACCAGAAAGCCTCATGTCAGTATGAATGGCTAGTTACTTACACAGTTAGTGTTAATTGCTGTTTCATTAAAAAAGAACAACAGTTCTCTAAGTGATTCAGTAGATAGTTTTTTGCTGCTGATCATAAAGAGCAATTATTTGGGAGGTATATGAATTCACAGAAGGCTGTGTCCCTATGACCTGGATGAAGAAAGGTGTTTAAGAAAAAAAAAGAAAAATATATGAAAGCTGTGGAAGAAACAAAGAGAATAAGATTGGTATCATAGCCTGTATAGTAGAAGTAGTACTATTTCACTTGCAAGACATTCATTACAGCACCTCAACTACACATTAAATTCAAAACCTCCATTTTATATTTCAAAACCAAGCTCTTACTAATTTTGGGGTATCAAAGACAACATTTGAGAAGAAATGTCCCTATTCAGTCACTTCTGACTTTTGTAAATAAAAAAGCCCATATGTACACATCCATGTGCCAAATCCTAAATGCTCACCTTTAAACTACTAACATGTTCTTCTATTAATGTCAGCAAAGGTAAACATTTAGGATAAAAAACCCTGTGTTTTCACAATGCCACTCACAAATAGAAAAATACGTTGTTTGTTTTTCCTCTGGTCAACAATTCACTTCCACCAAATCCACAATTTTTATTGCTTCATGGATTAGAAGTGTGAAGAATAAACATTTGCAGGAAAGCATACACAACATGTTCCTTACCCTCAGATCAATGACTCTGTTGTCCAGTCTTGTATCTTGGTTCACAGTAGCTCTTCCATCCTAAACAGTTGTGCAAAAATAAATAATAAATACATATACCTCCAAAAAACACCAACAAAACAAAATTAGTGGAGACAAACATCCTTTGGCAAAAAGCCAAGGTCTACTTCTAAGTTCAGTAGAATTTCTTGCTCATTCTAGAAAGAACATACAGCACATTGGTAGCATAGCAAAGCTTAAGGTTTAACTTCTCCCAGAGGTCGCAGGCAGAACCCAACTATGAGGATCCAGGAGACACATACAAGACTGCAAACCCTCTGGTTTTGACCTTCTACCGCAGTTCAGCAGACATCAAAGCTACAGAGATTCCTAAACAGTTCTGGATAACGTAAGGGAAGTAAAACGCAAGCCTAACAAACCCTCAAAATCCCTGCATTAAGGAAGTTGTCTGGCTTTCATGCTTTTGTTAAATCACAAAAATAATAATAAGTATTTAAGGATGCAAAGTTTTCACCTCCTCTCCATCCACTTCCGGACGAACAGCATCATCCAGCTGTAAGGGCAGTCGGGGTTCAGCTAAACTGATCACATAGATCTGAAATTGAGAGAGGAACAGAAATAGCAAGAGATTCAGCTCAAAAGGAGGTGTGATTTACAAAAGGATATTTCTGGCATAGACTTGAAACATTGTTTGCATAGACTGTTAGCTGTAACACTGTGATTTTACTCAAATACTTGAGATACGTGGGTGCATTCTCATGACAATACTGCAAGTGCTTAGTTCTTCTTTTCCTTTCGAAAGATTAAAAGTATCTTTTTTTCTTCCAGGAAGCACTGAGTTGAACAAGTACACGCTGCCTGAGGGACAAGCCTATTGGCATGAATGCCAGGTCTGAAACTACTAGATTTCACAGAGTTTTAGATTCTGATTCCAGCAAGATCATCCTGTTCCTCTCGTTGTCAATATATTATTTTACTTACAGTCTGATTTTATCTGAAAGAGCCATTTCAGGTTCAAAATTAGTGACATACCTAAAATACCATCAACGAATGAAAAACACCTTGCCTTGCTTTACAGTCTAGGTGTAGTGAATTTTACATTCTTTCAGGAAAATCAAGAACATGGTAATCTGCACATATATTAAAACATGTTTCTTCACAATCTGCAGATTTACCCCAATGCTGTTAGCTAAAATTTACCTTACCGCTATAAACATAATAACCATTGTAGTCTACTCCTGAGGTGACTGTGTTTCAGCTGTACTGTAGGCATACAGCTTAGTTGAAAACTTTTAGAAGGAAAGGATATTACATAAAGGTTTAAATATGCTTTCTATTTAAACAAATTACAAAGTTGCACTTCCTCCAGCTCTACAGCACAAGCTACAGGAATTTTAGATTTCAAGAGCTTCCATACTGTTAAGCCTGTGCTTTACTTTTGCTAAGAGTTATATATTCCATCCCATTGTACTAAGGGGAAGATTGTAACTTTCTGATAAAGAAGAAACTTCTGACTTGCACATAAAAAGAAGCAGACTTTTTCTTACAGTGTTTGCTGCAGTTAAGAATAAAAAAGTAGAATTAGAAGCATTCCTAGCCAAATTATTCTAGTGAGATACTTTGATTTCCTGGGTACTGTAATTCAAATGGCAGATAAAAATAGGAAATTCTAAAAATCAGATCTCTTAAAACCAGATAAGTTTCATGTTTACATATAATACACTGAAACTTGTAGTTTTAGGCAGTTTATTTCTCTGTATTTCTCTATATGCTCTTTGCTAACTGACAGTTTATATATGTAGATAGACAGACAGCCTAGGCAGATAACCTCTCAAACAATTAACTAGTGCTCCATTTGGTCAAAATTTTACCCTTTGAACGTGAAGCTCAACATCTTGCTGAGTACAACCTCCAATTTTCTGATGTGCCTTCCTCACAACGCCTTCTACATCCACAATGCTCTCTTTGTTGATGCTGTCAATAAAGATAGGATAGGAGGCTTACTAAATTTCATTGCACACTGCACCAGACTCAGTACTGAGCACTAGGATGTTCATGTACTGTATGAACTGCTGGAACAACAAAACAGAATTAAGGATTTAGGTAAAGTTACTTATTATAGATATATAATAAGTGAGTAGTGAAGGACTTTACTAAAATATTCCCAGCCACAATAAATTCAAACGGGCATGGAAGATTTGGGAGGGAAAGGATTATGATTAAGCTTAGTGCTTACTCATTCTTTGTGTGTGTATACACAAACTGACAAGTTGCCTAGTTCTTTTTCTAGGCCACATACACTCTTGTATGTGTCAGCTGATGCAATTATCTGCAAGATGTGTCCTAACCAGCAGAACAACAAACTGAAAGGAAGCCCTAGATCTGGAGGGGAAAAATCAAAACTGATTGAGCTTGTTTAAACTATATGACTTGTTACTGAAAGATGCAAGATGCTTGTAAGTCATTTCTCTACAACAGAGGACATCTTAATTGCTCTCCAATAACAGTCACTAATAGTACATTAAAACACCATATAACATCTTGAAAGTCTTCCAAAAATATGACGTGAAGTATGTGTGCTATAAGCAAACACTAAGAAAAGCCTCAAGGGTCATAGGTGAGAAAATAATTTGTATGAGAAGTCTTTATTTAGGTATTCAAGGCACTGGACTTTAAACCAGTAATTATCTACAGATAATCTCACCCCTACTAGAAATATATTTTCACTCTGTCTCTTTGCTAGCCTACTCATGAAAGGCCAGATATCAGAAAATATTTCCTTCCTTTTTATGAAAAGTAACAGTTACAATTAACTTTATCTTTCACTTCTTAGGCCTTCTTGAAAAGACTGGAAAGCACTGTATGTACATCACTTGACCACATAAACCCTTGGAAAGCAGGAAAGTAGCAGGTCTGATCTCGGTAAAGCGAAGAGCAGTTAACTATCTTCAAGATTACATGGTTGGCTTTTTTTTTTTTTAGTAAAACCCCTCCCCTCTCCATGCCCCAAAAAAACCTGACCCACAAAACCCATACAGCTAAGTTGGAGGGTGGTGAGATAAATATTTATATGCACAGGAGGTGTTACTAAGGGGCAGTAACCTTCAGTTAAAGGAGGTAAGGACAGAGTACAAGTAGGTACAAGCTACTGCTGATGGTAACTATAGCCCTAATCACTTGCATCTCCATCAGTTTATCTAGCACTGCCTGGACCAAGTCAAGGAGCTGTGAACAAAATTTAGGTATTTAGCCCTACAGTCTTTTTGTACAGCTACAGTACAACCACATGAAAAACTTATTATTATTATTTAGAAGTTTCTCTTTTGAAGTATCTATGTTTGGAATTAGTTATTCTCACATTTTTCAAGTAGGATTTACCCAGATAAACAATTAAGTTTCTCTTTTTAGTGGATGAGGGAAACAGCTTTCTTCTCTGACAAAGCCCGAGTGGCATAACCCAGAAGCAGCTGAGATACAAATCACCAAGTGTTCCTAACTAGGACTGCTTGCTTGCTCTGCTTTCTACTATTCCTGAAGCATCCATATCAGCTCTATGAAAAGCTAGATGGATCTTTGGTCTAACCTGGGACAAACTTTAAGTTATCCAACAGGATTTTTGAGTAAAAATGGTCAAAGTTTTGAAAAATCTGATGATACTAAAGTAACAGTGGAAAATTCAAGCATCATAATTCTCAAAACCTAATAGCATCACTATAAATAAACTACAATTAACTAAAAAAAGCCACATTTGAGCATTTCAGTTGATTATACTATATCTTTGATGGTAATACTTTCAGGTGATAGAACTCATTGGCAGCTGCTCTAAAAGTTCTACAGACCGTGGTGCTTCATATGCTTGACTTGCTTAACCATTAGATAACTGCACATACTGCATAAAATTTGTGAATACTATGTTTTTCTGGTACATTTACACTTTAAAAGAGCTACAGTTGCTCAAATCAGTATAATGAACAAATGACTAAATTTGTACAAAGCAGAGGTCGACAGTAGGACCTAAATCAGAATTCATTTAGTTAAGGGTGAGCCTCCATTCATCTCCATTATTTAAGCAGAGGCAAGAAATTCAAGAAAGACAAGGAGAAATGACACTAAGTGCTTAGAAGTACACTCTCTTCTAAATGAATCTGTTTAAAACTCCTTAAAAAGACTGAGGCTGCAATACAACGCCTTGGATGCAAGACAATGTGATGATAAGAAAGGCACAGAGAATATATCATGCTAAAATACTATTAAGCGTACCTATAAATTCCCTTTGCTTTTCAAACAAGTAAATGTTTAAAAGAATAAAAGTTTTACTCTTGTGCTATTTTTTTCCCTAAACAGTTCTCTTCTATTTTTCCTGCTTCCTTTTTCATGTCAACATTTTGGCAAATGACCAGAAAACACTACTAATGACACAAACAGCAGTGTCTTCATTGAAAATAGAAGTTTCTAATCTGCTGAGTAAAAGCCCTCTGACTAATAATTGCAAATAAAAATAATGTTTTAAACTTATTGAAGCAAATTCTCTGCACTGTGAAAAAGAAAATAACAGTCAAATGTAAATGTGTTGTATGATGGATTCATAATAAGATTACTGATCCCATGGCTGAAAACTGGTGTTAGTGAAGCCATTATAGAGCCCTGATCAGAACCTGCACAGCATTAAAAACATGCAAAACGGGATCAGTTTAAAAATACAGGAAGAAACTGACTTTTACATCATTGTAACTGTAATATGACTATGCAAACTTGCATAACAGAACTTTAAAACTTTGCACTTGTGATTAAATGTGCTTTCTCTCTCTCTCTAAACTGGAGTTGCAATTAAAATGGTATGTTTCTTGGTCTAGAATACACTTTAAAACTGTAACATCCCTTAGTCATTAAATTTGCCATAATTTTAAGATGTATTTCAACCTGGCTTCTACCTATGTAAACTCCTGTATCAAAAAATAATTGCCTGGGCATACAAAAGCACTACCAAGTTTTCTACTGCATATGACCATTTTTGTACTTACAAATGTTCACCATGTACTCTAAACTTTCATTTGATAATTAGAAAATGTGCTTTTGCTCGTTCAGACTATTTATCTAATCTGGTATAATCTGGAAGTAAAAACTTGTGTTTTGAGTTCTGTTTGAACCATGCTCAGCAAGATCTAGTGCTGGAAAAATCTGAAGTCCCTAATATAATGCATCAAATGTAAACTACAGAAACCTAGAAGGTACTGCTCTTATCCCAACAGACAATTCCAAGAATGTTACTGAAATGGTAATTTCAGTTCAAGTCACGACAAGAAAAAAGATGCTTTAATTAAATGCTGGTAACTCTCTGCAGCAGCAGCACTAAGTCATCTAGGTGATTTTTTGATAAAATTCCCCTCGGTAACAAAAAACCCCCATAGAAACTAAAAAAAAGTGAACAAGTAGCAGAAAAGCATGCCAAAGCTATCACCATTTCCCTTAAAGACAACAATATTTATACCTGTAATTAATATTACAAAGGACTAGAAACTAAATTGGGATGCATGATGCATTAAGAAAAGATAGATGACATCTTTATATTGTTTAATCCTTTAGGAAGCTATTTTAGCAATAGATTCATAAAGCCCAGTGCTAAAAAATTCCTCTGTAGAGCAAACTGCTTCTTTATATGTAATGTTCCTATATAATTGCTAAAATGTCCACTAGTTGCCTATGTCCCTCTTAATTATCTGCATGTCTATTAGCCAAGACTTTCTCTTTTAACCACAGGATTGCATTATTGCAGTCTGTATGACAACATCTTTCATCAACAGCTTCATGTTGCAAGCTGAACCCCATGCGGGCCTCCCTAAGTGAATCACAATCAACATTTTCTTGATCAAAAGTCTGAAGAATTGGAAGAAACCTGGTTATTCATAGACTTTAAATAGAAAATGTTTTTACTTAATGGAAGCATTATACTTGTTCAGACATTTTCTTGTGGTTTTCTTCAACACTGTTTTCTGTAAGAAGACTGCACAAATTATTGTATTAATACATTATTAAATCTAAAAATATTAAATAATTGATGTAAAACATAATAATCAATGTTCCTTTATCTGGATGTCAGTGAAAGCTGAAGGCAATAGTATAAAAAAGTGAGTTCAATTTGTAAACAGTTGAAATGATAAACATTTTATACATAACTCAATAAGAGCAACTGTAATACTGTCTGCACAAATACAGTAAGCATCCATTAAACCCTCTGAAAGTTTACTGACACTGTATACATAAAGACCAAGCAAATACCTATTCTTATTCTCTTCATTCTAAAAATACAATCATCTGTTTCCTATACCAACATTCTAACACCTGGATGAACCTGAGGATCTCCTAGGGAAAAAAAAAGCCTGTCTTCTTTTCAAGATTTTAACTAACAAAATCCACTACGCATTTTTAATCATTTTCACTGAAAAAACATTCCACTTTGTTCCCCTTCCTAATTTACCTAGCTTCACCATCTGTTCATTACTCTTGTCATACCTTTGTATATGCAAAGTACAGAACCCTCTACTGGCAGAAAATCTTCTTGCATAGGTACCATCAGACTAGGATTTAAATTATTTACTAATTTCTCTTGGTTAGAATAGAGTTTTCTTTAGTCTCACAGAGGCAGATTTTCCTGACTACACATAATTTCATCTTTCAGCTTCACCATCAACCTTTTCCAATTTGACATATATTCAGACACAAAGACAACAAAAGCGGATAAAATATTCCATAAATGGTCTAATGACTGGCATATATTATTCTAACAGCATTTTATTCCTCCATTTCAAAACTCAAGAGATCTCCTAGCACAGTAGGTAAGAGAACTGCATGGATTTAAGTCTGTTACCTATCATGAGCTCACATTTCTCATCACCTATGTTCCTACACATTAATCCTGAACATACACAAAATCTGAACTAATGATCACAAAGGTACAAATTCACTCTGAAGACCACCAAAGTGATTATTCTAAATGAACCCCGGTTACTATATACTCCTAGCCCCTAGTTCACCATTTCAATTTCTGTATCACCAGCAAACTTAACAGCTGTGATTCGACATTTTCTTCCAGATCACCAATATAAAAATTAAACAGAAATGCATAAAGAAAATATTTCTGCAATATCCAGCAGTTTTCCTGATATTACCAATTTATCAGGCTAATGAGTTTATGTATATTTTTCTACACTGTGAAGTGTATTCATACAGGTTTACCCATCTTTTTTTTTCCCCCCCCATTTTTATTCTCTTTTCTGGATTTTCATTCTCCAGCCTACTATAAAGAGTCATCAAATCACTTCGTGAGCGAGGGCACATTGTTTGGGCAGCTAAATTAGAAACTGTTAACCACCTCTCCCAACTGCTATATCACATCATGTGGCTATGGTAGCAGGCTGGAAGAAAGGCTCAATGCTGATACAAAAAAAAAAAAAAATAGAAATAAAACCAAAACTGACCCCACCTAATAATCAGTGGAAAAAAAGCAGGTTCATAACTTACTAATTGCACCACTTGGCATGCTGGCTGAAAGAGACAATTAATTTTTTCTCTTATGCAGCATCCCTTGCAGGACTAGGCTGAATTTTTTTTACTGATGAAAGACGTAAGAAGAACTCCACAGCTGCCAGTCCAGTATCTTGACTGGCTCTATGTTGCTGGCTATGCATGTTATGAAAGTTCAACTAGAAACTCTTCATAGTTAAACGCACAGAAATTTTCATGTAAAATTGAGTTAAACCAGTATTAAGTATCTTTCACCAAAAAGAACTCAAATTTTTATGATATTGGAGATAATCAGTATATGAATGTTGCTAGACCACAAAAAGTTATGAAAGTTCTTGGTTTCCATGTGCCAATATCTAAAGGAGGAACTGGCTTGTTTATTATTTATGAAAATTTTTACAAAAAATGCTCATGATTTAATCAGTTCTCATTAAGAATTCAAGATCCAGAATTTCACAAACTATTTTTAAAAAAGTTTCAGAGCCAGTATCAAAATATGAAAAAGTAGCACATGAAAAATAAGGTTTATGTACTACCAGTGAAAAAGTCTAAAAATTTTATTGAAATTTAAGCTATTTAAGTTAAATGTTTTCTTCAATAAATGTGTATTTCCTCATTTAATGTGTAGGAAACAAGAGGAGATGAAAAAAGACAAGACACTGAGAAAGGCAGAGAAAGAGTATAGTTATTTTTAGACATCTAAGACCAGCCTCATCTGCTAGTGATAATGGCATCATTCCACAGCAGGTGAAAACTAACAGGAAAATTACTGTAAAAAGATAAGGCACATACTGTTGCTGTGCTTCAGGTGTTCCTGGCACAGTGAGCAACACTACACACAGAAGTTGGGGAACAGCAGCAGCCTCTAAAGGACAAGAGGCAGCCGCAATGGTGACATCAGAATAAATTGTAGAAGGTAAAACACTGGAAAAAGTGAGAGCATGGCAGGATATTAATAAAATAGGTTTGTTGGTGGGAAGGAAACTTGAGAAGATGATTGAACTAATGGTGTTAGAAAACCAAAAGCAAACCCCCGATAAGAAAACCCAGAAATCCAGAAGGCTGTAGCAGAGAAAGTTCTATCATTCAAAGAACATGACGATAAGCATGTAAGCAATTCAGAAGCACATATGAGTAAAACATGCATGCTATGAATTAGGGAGGCTTGAGCTAGCAAATGCTGTCACAAAATGGAGCAGAATGAAAAGTCAAAATGAAGTACAAACATCATGAGTCTGGCTACTCAGAGGAAATGAGGTCTATCACAACAAGGAAAGTGGGGAGATAACAGGAGGTTGGAAAGTACCTAAGGATAAGTTCCCATCTGATTTAACAGCTCATTGCTGCCAGAGGAGAAAGGAGCTTTGCCCTCTACTCTTTCCAGATACCCTTTTCCACTATTTACCACTCCTTGTTAGCTCTGGACCTCCATGACCTAGTTTAAATCACTAACCTGACAGAAAACTGAGTAAAAAAAGATTAGTGATCAAAAAAAAAAAAGTCACGGAAGGCTTACAAGTGGCAGAGTCAGCATATGGAAGGAAAGAGTAAGGCCCTGTCATGGGCTCTGAACCACTCAGCTCTGCCACTCACAAAACAGAAGAGATTCAGCTGTGGAGGAAAGAACCACAAAGAAAACTAAAAAAGAGAGATTTTGGAGAGAAATGAAGAATAGGAGAGTATCACAACTGTAAGAGTTGTTTCACTGTTCTGTAGCATAAGTTCATCAAGAGAGTAAGGCAGACTGTTGGTAGGTTAGTGGGAGATGAATTGAGGAATGAGTGGATTATACACTTAATTCTTTTCAAAGATTCTAAGTACTGGAGAGAACAAACTATTTCATGAAGAAACAGAACACTTCACTTTGGCTCATAAACACCTGTAAACAGCATGCTTCACACTGGCACTGCCAACACTGAGCACCGCCAAACAACAAACACTGATGGTTCTGTTTTCCCATTGCCTTGAACCTCATCAGCAGAAGCATTATCCTAACCTTCTTAACTTGGCTTCTGGAAGTCTATGTTATAATGAATCCCTCCTCTCCCTGACATATTGAAGGTTGAAGGCTGTAGCTGCAAAAGCTAATTAGTGGGGGCTCCCTTCCCAGGCATGAGAGTAGTGCCAAGAACTACACAGAAGCAACTCAAGTGCCACATGTTAAACGTATTAAAGCACCGAATCGATCCACATTTCTATTTGTGAACAAGTAGATATACATTATTAAAAGCTCTACTATAAAAACTCCTTTGTCATGCAAACATATTTAGAACTGGACAACCTGAAAGCACAATCTTGAGGCAAGTAGCAGGGAAAGGTAAATTTTGATCTTTAAGAACAAACCAAACCAATAAACAAAACCAATACCAGAATTTAAGTTGCTGCCACAAAGACCTGTTTAACTGGCAAGTCTAACTACTAACCCCCACCCCAAATATTTTAAAAAGTAACTTAAATGCCTCATTAAACATTCTAATGCCAAAAATAAGGTGTAAATAAGAATAATTCAGTACACAGAAGCTACTCTTAATTTCTTCAACTCTGTAAGCCAGTTGCAGTATGGAACTTCTTCACATCAGTTCTAGCTATAAAACGTATTACTAAACTACACATCTTATAGAAGAAAAACCCTGGACATGTGCATACACACACAAACACCACACACAAAATGAAGTGTCCCACTCAGCTAAGCTTGCCAGACTTTTTGTTAGACAACTTGAAAGTAAATGTAGGTTGTCTATGGCGAGAGAATGCTGCTTCAGCAGTTCAGAATGAATTTCAAGCCTGTTCTCTATTTTATCTTTTGTCAGTGTAATGTATTCAACGCAATAGTGAGCTGACAATTTAAATAACTACATTTTAAAACAAACGAAGCATTGATGTTAATGTGTGAAAATGGTCCCAACCCCTGGGAGTCCTGGTTCCCACCACTGTTTACTCTGACAACAGGATATAATTGCTTACTTACTTGGCAGCAAACTTTACCATCTGCTTGCTTGCATGCTGTCCCACAGCCACAAGAGCCTGGATATTAAACTGCTGCTGACGCAGAACTAAGAAACACTGCTTCCCTGAATACAAAGAAAAACAATGCAGGTGTATTAAGGACAAGTGACTCGAGGTCTTTACGAATGAGAAAAAATGCTTTACTACTTTAATATTAAATTTATCTTTTTGAGGTGTGTGTGTGTTTGCCTCTCGCCGCTCCCTCCGTCCACCCCAATAACTACATCAAACCAGTCAGTTCTGCATGTACACACACACACCAAGCACTAAGATATTCAAATCATTCTGCCTTACATCTATAAACATGTGAATGGACATTTTCTAAAAATAACAATAAGCCTTTCAAGATAAATAACTAGACAAAACAAAAATTAGAAATCACAACTTTTAAAGTATCTATTGTTCTTCAACTGCAAGAAGTAAATCATACTTTTTCTCGTTGCTTTACTCACAACTACTTCAAGTCTACATTATTTGAAAAGAAGCTTTTTCTCATCTTCTCAAATTAAAACTGTACAGTTCACTTTACAAAGCTGCTCTGAGAGGAATAGGCTTGATTTTGCACCACAGGGACTAAACCAACAATGTTCATTCTATAACACACCACACATTCAGAATGAAGGGGAACAAAAGGAGTATTGATTCTGGTGAATGACAAGAACCTAAAAGACCCAAGTCAAAATTCCTGTAAGAGCATTTATTCATGAACAGCTTTGGGAAAAAGAACTTAATAGGAATTAATAATAATTTACAAAGAACATAATGCACTTTGTTGACTTTTAAAATTAGTATTTCCAAGTCAACAAAGCTCTTTCTAATTCTAATCTCTTTAGCTGACAGTTGCAATCATTTCATATTTCTCCTCACATCTCTAATAATCATTTACTCTGATTTAAGGAAATACGGTGATTTTCAATGCTTCTTCCTCAAAAAGAGAAATTAAAAACAAACACTTCATTGTTGTATCAGTGTCTGATAAAATGCATCAATATAATTTTAATTCCAAGTTCCAACTCATAACATTATATTTCCATTAAAATGGTAAGAAAGAATAAGAAGCCAGAAGCTTTGTTATAGATAGCTATTTCCCAGTTATTATTGACTTAAGACTACAAAACATTAAAATCAATATGTATCTAACTTGAATAACGACACTAAAAAGGCAGTTGCAGTTTTAATTTGTAATTAGGTAGATTACCATTCCTGACACATAGCTGCAGATAATTTAAAAAATAACAGAAGATAAAGGCAGAACATCTGACACGCAATCTGATGGAAATAAAATCAAACATACAAAACTACTACAAAATATTATAAAAAAATAACATTATAATTATTGAAAATAACTAATCTCATCCTACAATTGTGATTTCAGACATGCAACAAAATTAATTCCGTATTTTCAGAAAATACAGTACAACTATTTCTGTATTCCAGAGGCCACAAAGAAGCTAATATGGTATGGATGTATGTATTTCTTGCAGGCAAACTTTAAGCCATAGATTTAAATTAGCAAAGTAGAGGCTTCAGAAATTAAACAGAACCTTCAGTGGTATACATGCCTGCGTTTCAGATCCAGAAAGTCAACAAAGTACTATTTTTCCATATGACACAGTATGCTAAGTTTCTTTGGATAAGCTAGGTGTACCTCACATCTTTGACATCTCAAAATTTCTTACTTACAAAGTGGTTTGATACCATATTTCCTAGAAAATAGTATTTGTCTCCATGATTTCAGTCACAAATAATTTAGCAAAATATGATCAGTGTTTCAGCAATGATGTATTAGGTGTTCAAACAAAAAATACATAGCTGAAGACATCTACAATGTCACTCAATTAGTAAATATTTAAGAAGATAGTGAAATAAATGGAGGGACCTGCTACCATATTAATCAGAAGCAGAAGTCTGGCAGTGTACTTAATTCTAAACTCTAGAAGTCTGATCAGTATCTGCATTATAAAAGGACTCAAATCTTTTTGTCATGAGTAACAGTAGCTGTTTTCATGAGGAAAGAGGATGTTTTGTAGAATACAACCATTTCTAATCACACAGAAGATAAGTGATCAAAAAAACCTCACTGATAGGAATAGTTAAAATATCACAGTTACAAAGACTGTAGGAGGAAACAGAACTTTTCCCAAAAGAGCTGAAGACATGCAAAATAAAGTATCAAAAGGACAAGCCATAATCAAATCTAGTTCATGATTAGATGTCTTTCCAGATCAAGAGACAGAAAAAAGGAAACATAAGAGTGAGAAAAAAATTTGGATTACGGGATGTTCTCCGTGTGTTTCAAACTATTTACATGGTATTTAAGTGAAAAGTATAAGACCAACTTTACTCACATTCAACAGTAAACTACTCCAAGTTTCCATAAAACAAAAACAATACTGTGTCCCACAAGAATGACTAAAAAGATTAAAAGTTTCGAAAGAAATTTGGCTAAAAAGGTCTGACTCAGTCTAAAGCAAGCCACTTTTAGCCACTAAACAAATAAGAGAAGACAACACACAGAGAATCCTGTCAAAAGTAAGCACATAAAACAGAACAGGAATTCATTTCCTTTCTTGGATAAAGTACCAAATGACACAAGACCTTATGAGAGAAAAGGATGTAAGAAAGGAATTTGTATAAAGAGCAAAAAATGTTTGGTCATATAAATTAACACATTACTAGTTACAGACATCTGTCAGCAAAGAGAACACTGCATATGGTTTATTATAAAATTTGGTCCAGTATTTAAATTGCTCTTGATGGGACCCTTATTTTCAGACATACTGTTCTGATGTTTTATAAACTTTTGCATTCATAAACAAAAAGCAAGTTCAGGTCTAACATACTGTGCAAGTCCCAGCAGCCTGGCAGAACCCAGTCTGATTTCCCAACTGCTTTTCAATGATAAATGTGACCAGTAGTTTAGGCTGGCTTTAAAATAAGTCCAGAAATAACATTTATGCAACCTACGATAAAAGCCACAGGGCCCCATGCACTTCAATTTTAGTACAACCCACAGAAATTCCCAACACCCCATTCTTTACACAACCTTCAGTTAATTTCCATCAGACTTCATGAGTGGCTTCCTATACGAGACAGCTGGATTCTGCAGTTGTTCACATTCATTATTTTTGGTTTATTGGTCAGAACTAGACAGGGTTACATAAAGGATATGTTGGTTATTTAGGAGTCAAATTCGAGCTTCTGAGAAAAACTAAAGCTATTTTTGTATAAGATTTTCCTGTTTCCTGCAAGATTTTCCTTTCCATAATGGTAGGAATAGCACCACAATGTGTGTGGGAAAGGCTAATATTACTTTTCACTCTTAAACATTTGCTTTTCTTCTAAGATTCTTTTCCCCAAAGCCTAAGTAAACAAGCATATGGCATTCCCTAGCAGCATTCCCTGAATGTCAGAATTGTTCTCTGTTGTCAGATTAAGAAGGAAAAAGAAGCACAATCAATAAATTGAGAACACTTCATGCCCATGATCAACTCCTTTTGCTTTCATTCTTCAGGTTGTGTTAGAGTTTTGAAAATAAGCACTGTTATTTCATGAAAAACTAGTTTTTCCTGAGGTCACAGGTGAAGGATTACAAACAGCTTCTTGTAAGTTAACAGTCATGTTAGATACATGTCACTCTGATTGAAGTAAATGCATATATTATGCAAGATATCATATATAAATGCAATACAGAGACAGTAATAAACAACCATTGAACTTTACATTGTTTTAGAGTCTGCACAGACACCTATCTTTAATACACTAAATTCTGTTAATAGTCTGAACGCTTCCTACAATTACAAAAGAAAAAGCCATAAAGATACTCTTATTTGTATACTGATAGTTACATTTAAATTAGATAGCGTCTCCTGTCCGAACAACCTCAAGTTGTAATGACCAAGGCATTCACAACTTTTGGGGTTAACAATTTCTATACATAGCAAAGAGAGAATTCCATTTAAGACCATACTACAGAACTATTAAGGAAATCACAGAAGACTCCCTAAATTCAAAGATTCTAATACAGATTAAATACTGTGCATTATATTTATATATTTACATGCAGATCCTTGCTTTAAATGACTGCAGTACAGACACTTGTTAAGAGGGACATTTTTAAAGAAAATGAAGCCTCAAAAATAGAAATTAATCTGGTATCTGTGACAATATTCTGTACTGGATTCTTGCCCCTAATTTGCATTATTCCCAATTCTATGACTACTGTAAGGTTTCATTTGTGAAGATAATTTCTTTATGCTATTTTCTTTCAACTCTTGAGAAGATAAGGTATTTATACCTCACTACAGAGCTGCCAAACATAACCGAAACCAGTAAAACAGTTGTCAGCATTTGATGTTAACCGAAAAGGCCAAAGCCTATTTAAGTTTGCATATGGCAAACTGATCTCCAAAGAGAACTTCTGATTCCGGGGAAGAAACATGACTGTCAGACAGCCAAGTATGACAGCCCACACTACTGAGAACCTATGAAAGGATCTTCCCATTGTCTTGTTAAAGAAAGATGATGTTTCTTATTTTAAGTTCAAATTGATATTGTCAGATATTGGTAACTGAAAGAAAAATTCTGGAATTTTAACACAGATTTTTGTTTCACATCAAAGAAAAGGTACAGTGAAAATATTCACATGCAGCAAAATAAATATAGCCTGTTTGACAACTGATACATTTACAATAAAAGTACATTTTACAGCAGAAGCTTGTAACTGTTTTATCTCACAGTTGTTAATACCCAAAGGAGAATGACTAATATTTTAAAATTCCTATTATTTACAATTGTCCACACATTATTTAGTAATATAGTAAAACCAAAATTTACTTTTACTACAGTGAAATAGTAATATCCGATTTCCACTCAGCTGAAAACAAAATTTCCTTTTCCCCTCCTGGGAAAAGAGAGGTGGAAAGAAGAGAAAATACCCAGTCAAAGTGAACACTGAGTGACCAAGTGGCAAAGTTTTCTTGTATGCAAGACATAATTAACAGGTCATGAAGCCAAAATAAACATTCAGGTTATACTAACAATATGAGGAAATAAAACCCCTGAAGGCATCTCACCTTTAGCTCTGCTTGTATGAATTCTGCCACGAACCCAAACAACTTCATCAGCCTTCTCCACTGTCAGATCTTTTATTCGAATCAAAACTCTATCTGAATCACAGAGGAAAAAAAAAAAAAACAAACTTGGGGGTTTTTTAAATAAAGCATTTTTCACTTTAAACTCCAAATACATTATTTTTTGCATCTACAGCATAATAGATGTATTGAAAACACACTGAAGATTCCCATTTCCTTTCTCAGTGAATTGTACTTGATCAAGTAGTTTTAAATTGGTTCAAGCTTCTTGTTTGACTTATATAGCAGTCAAACTGCACTAAAACAAAAGCAAGACTTACTGTAGTTCACAGATGGCAGAATCCAGCACGGCTACACTATTTTTGATAGGACTTCATTGTGTTGCACTGTATCACCTGCACTTATTAGTCTGGATTTCTGCTAGCTAAGGGATGTCAGCCCTGCTCCACTGTGTGATGTGAAAGTTGGTACGTTGAACACAGCAAAACAAAGGCTCAGAGCTGACAAGACTATTCTCTGTATCTACCTAAGTAGGGTGAGTATCACCATAAAGTAATTATTATTTAAAATAAAGAGAAAGAAAACACAAATAAATGTTCATTAGAAATTAAAAGATTTATTTTGATAAAAAGAATAGCATTTTGGAGCAACAAGAGTGTTACTCTGTAAAACCAGTAACATTTATTTTAAGAGAATCTCTTTGACAACCTGATCAAGCACTGCCATCGTGTAGGAGCCAGGATTCATCAGAAAGAACCCTTCAAATTCTATATATCCAAGAAAGCTAAGTAACAATAGGAATGCATGGTTTGGAAAGGACAGATATTGGATAGTAAAGAAAAAAAATAAAAATTATCAAGGAAAATATTTTTAAATAAATCAGAACAACCATTACGAACTGCCAGTATGCTGGCTGCATGCCACTATTCCTTGAAATGTACTTGTTTAATTCTATGTTCCCATAGATTTTTGGCCAAATGTATTTTTGCATGGTCTCAAACACTTATTTCTTTCTACAAATCAGTTAGAGAATATACATTGCATTGCACAGAACCTCAGTAGTTCTAATAGCTACACATACTCACTTACAGTTCATATGTGGTTAAAAACACTGCTTATTAGAAAAAAAAAACCTTCAAGAGAGATACTGATCCTTATGGGTCTCTTTCAACTCAAGATATTCTATGATATGTAACACAAGCAAATCCACTCTCTTTGCCTTTCATCACAGACTTCCCCTTGTTTTAAACTAACATTAAATTTACTAAGACACTTCCACCCTAGACTCTTCCCGCCAGAACTTCTCCAAAGTTTGCTACCCCAGGTTACCATCTGCCGTTCTGGACTCCTTCCCTCTGTCTCCAAATACCAGTCACAGCTTGCTCTGCAAGCCAATTATTCCGCACTAGGAATTTTAGGGGATTGAAAATGTTTATTAGCTTATGCTCAGAGCAATGTTTTTTCTTCACAGACACACATCAAGACCAGAACAGAATGGAAGAGCACTCAGAAACATGATAGGGAATTGACTCAAATATATTAATAATCTGTGTATGTGCATGAGTGCACTGGAGAAGGGAGAAAGGGGAATAAAGATGTTATCACTTGTCAGCAACTTCTGATGTTCAAACTTTATCAGGATAGCACTATAGGAAACATGCAACCAGCACAACCCATAAGCTCTAGTATTCCTAAGAGTTTGATATTCAGACAGTTAAAATTACCTCAGTCAACTGTATTGTTAGAAACTTAAAAAATTTTTCAGGCAGGAGCATAAAGACAGAATGAGGTGTTACCCTTTTTATGAATCCTTAGTGTTTCAGGAACCATCTGCCTTAGATAAATATTTTTTAAAGTCTTTTGGATACACAATGGTTTATGTTTCATCAAGACTAAACAAGACACCTTTAACACAAAAATTTTTATACGGTGTGAATTATTAAAAACTATTTCACCTTTCATAAAAAGGTTAATAAAACAATATCCAAAGAGAGACATCATAAAGTCATTTTTTCCAACTGCAGATCACAGAATTACAGCAAGGCTGAGGTTAGAAGGGACTTCTGGAGGCCATCTGGTCCAACCCCCTGCTCAAGCAGGGCCACCTAGAGCCAGTTGTCTGAGATCATGTTCTGACATTTTTTTAATATCTCCATGGAGGCAGACTGCACAATCTCCCTGGGCAACGTGTGCCAGTGCTTGGTCACCCTCACAGTAAAAAAATGTTTCCTGATGTTCAGAGGAAACCTCCTGCCCTTCTGTTTGTGCTCATTGTCTCTGACCCTGTCAATGTGCTCCACTGAAAAAAGCTAGATGTAGCAACTGTCCCATCACTTTGTTTCTCTGCTTCAACACATCCCAAATCTAGTAAACTTTTCCTCTCATTTCTAAAATGCCAGTAGTTCATGACAATGTCTACGTTTGTTAGTGTAAGCAACTGTTTGTCACTCATTTTCTCTTGTCCAACCAACACATTGTAGCTCAAACCTTCCCACAGTACTCTCATCTATCATTTCATGTGGAATTCCTTTCAGTTCATTTCTATCTCTTCCATGATACAAATGAAGCTTCTTGCTCTCAACTTTAAGGTCCTTCCACCATAATCTTCAGGCTATCACCTACTTGCTCTTTCAAAAATGTAAGCTATATTTGCATTTTCTGTCTTCTTGCCATATAAAAAGACAATAAAATAATGTGAAAATAAAAGATGTTTTAAATCGTGCTACAGTTGCAGAGAAGACACAGGAACAAAGATTTTAAAGGAAGTTCAAACAAAACACTCCATAAGTCTGAAATTATACTTCCAGCTCCAATTCAATATTCGTGCCACTTACCTTCATTGCCATTTTGAATCATGTTCAAGGGGAAACTATATTTTTTCTTTTCCTTCATGTATAGCACAATCACTTTTCAACATATTAAATATCCTTATCTTTCTCTCAGAACTCTAACTTCTAAACATGGGAGGAGAGGATAAAAACCCAAAAAGCTGCCTGGGTTCTACAAGAAGACAAAATCACTTTTCCACCCCCAGACCCTTATTCCCTGCCTGTCACATCAACCTGTTCACTAAATTCATTTATCTTCCATCATGAAGTTTTGAACACTATGATCAATATTTTTCTGTCTTGTGAAGTGCCATCATCTTTACAAAGCTGGATAAATTTGAAAAAGAGCAGATAAGTTTAATAAAAAAACCTGAAAGCCAAAAGCAGTAGAAGATGAAAGCAGCTTCCAGGGAAGGGAGATTAAAGTAATGGGGCTGAAGGGAGAAAAGGTAAAGGCAAATAGTTTTACTAGCAACCATAGCCTCAAGCAGGCAGGAAGGACTTAAAGACATGATGTAACAGGAAGCGAGAACATCAGATAGCCAGGGCAGCCAACATTAGCAGAAGAAAGATTGAAGTGGGCCAAGAATGAAGGCACAGGTGTGTGCAAAATCAGTAGAGCTGGTGGAACACATATGCAACAACTTTGTAAATACGTGAAGAGTTTTAATTTGCCTGCAAGAGGAACAAGAATTTATGAGTATGGCAAAAGGACAATAAGCCTATCCCTTGGAAGGGAAAAATAATTTGCTCTGATCACTCTAAGCTTTCTAACTTCCCATGTATAGGCAGTGTCCTCAGGACAGTGCAGCAACTGCAGCCAGCCCAAAAGCAACAGTGCTGCAGATGTCCAACTGAGCTCCTACCCGTGTCTGTGCTGTCTGTATTGTCTGTTGGCTCCAGTTACCAGATGGTATGTGGATCTGCACGTCATCTCACAATTCATTATTCTGACTTAGAAATGGCATGTACTCACGCAGACTCCAGAAACAAAGTTAATGCAGTACAGACAGATGGGAACACTCGCATTTGTGCTTCCCCACCATTCCCTGCCCCAAGCAGATCCAAGACACTCAGTGCAAGCAGAATACTTTGAGGAAAAGCACTTGTATACTACCAATGCTGAGTGATGACTTCACCCTCCAGTGAGTCCTTTGGTAAGAGCTCTCCCTGGCAGGAACTACTGAATCTTTAAGAGGGCATTAGTCTCAAGGAAGGGACTACGCTGATCTTGAATTTTTTTATTATAGGCATTTTGTTTTTTATCGTTACCTAACTTTGGTGTTCTGGATAACCATCTTCTAAACAACAGAATAGCAGGGGTGTTGCATGTTGTATTTTAAGCCCAATGGAAAACCTTCTCAGTCTTGTCCATACACTGGCTGAGACTATTTTTTGACTGAGAGTCAACAGGCAACAGATCTAAACACAGCACTCAGCCTTTTTCATATAATTTCCTGCAGCTTTCACGATTTTCCTTCTCAACTTTTTTTTTTTTTTCCCTCCACAGTAGTTCTGAGTGTTCAGAGTATGAGAGAGCTGGCAGGGTAAACTTTCTCCATGACAGTAGGATGTGATCCACCATCTCAATCTGCCAGCTCGGGTCTCCCACGCAGTTGTTTGCTATGGGGTGTGAAAGTAGCAGAGAAAACACAGTTTGCAGAAACAGTGAGCCAACTGCCATCACAGAAGAACGTAGGGACAGGAGATCCAACAGGGCAATCCTACAGTCAGCAGCGTGGGTTAACCAGTCAGTTGCTAACTTGGAGAAGTTATCTTTTTCTTAATATTGCACCTTTTAGGTTGCAACTGCACACCAATTAATGGATTGTAATGTGGATTATATATAGCTATGGATGGCTGTGTTCCTGCCCCTTCCAGCAGTCACCAGACCCCCAGCCAACCTTCACTTTGCTAAGCTGGCTAAAGTTGTTATCAGCATGTGGAAACAGATCAGCAGAAAACCCAACATCAGGGTGAGGGAAACAACAGCCACCAGCAGCTGAGCTGGCTTACAATGTGATTTCAACTTTAGTTCCCTTTGACAGCTAGTATGTATTTTATTGAATAATAACTGCTAATAGTCTAGAGTGATTTTCTTGTCCCATTACATTCTTGACATAATGTTCTCCCTTCAGTTGTTTTCAACCTATGATTGCTTTTGTGGCTCCTCTTCTTCCCTACATTCTGAATTTCCCTTCCTAAGCAAGGTCAACCAAAACAACCAGAGGAGAAAAAAAATCACCCCATCACAGATGATGTTCCTTTTTTACATTTCACTACGAACAAGTTACAAGAAGCCAGTCTATTACCGTCCCCCGTTCCTGTCTCATGCACTGAATAATATGAAGATTAGCATTTCCTGGGATGTTGGCCTGGGAGATTGTTCTCTAGCTGACAAATCTTTCTGAATCCCAATTCCCTATCAGTAGAAAATGAGGATTTCCTGAATTCACAGTGGTGTGAATAATGATAAAACCCATAAATATTAATATATAATATTAATGGATTTGGGGCTCTTATGCAGGAGTAATGAAGGCTGCATAAGCAGACAGATATCCTACTCAGAGAGTGTTGTTGCAGCAAGACGTAGCAGAACTTACTCCAAACAAAGAAAAAACCTGACATCTCAGGACTTAGTATATTATAAATAATAGTAATTCAAAAAAAGTCAAGGCTGGGGTGATGGGCAGAGACAAAAACTGACAAGCTCTGTAGGGCACAGTCCAGGCAAGGGCAAAGATTGAGATTCTGTAAACTCTCTGGACCCAGCTCCAATATCCAACCATATTCTTTTTTTTTTCCCTTCTATCTAATCAGAATTTCCTGTGTTCTGACCTGTGTCCATGATCACCTGTCCAATTAACACACACATTCAAAAGTCTGGCTTTATCTTGTCTACACCCTCCCATTAAGTAGCTTTAAACAGTAAAAAGATCACCCCACAGCTTCCTCTTCCCCAGGCTGAGCAAGTCCAGCTCCCTCAGCCTCTCCTCAGAGATCCTGTGCTCCAGTCCCCTCACAGATTTGGTAGCTCCCCGCTGGACTGGCTCCAAAATGTTAATGTCTTCCTTTCATTGAAGAGTCCAAAACTGGACACAGCACTCCACATGCAGCCTCACAAGTGTCAAATGTGTTCAAATAAAGGGAAAGAATGGCAGCAGGATTTTAAAAAAAAGTTTGGTAAATGATTTCTCAAACAAGTACTGAAGATGTCAAGTATATAACTTCTTTTTTCCTTCTTCCTCCCCACCTCTTTTAAAAAACTTTTTTTAACTGACCTGGTTTCTCTTGGGATTGTATCATTGATGACACTCCATATCTTTCCTTAGCATAATCCTAAAATGGAGGTGAGAAATATGTATCAAAGAAGCATACACAAAAAGATGAACAAAAGCATTACAGAGTTAACTGAGATACAATTATCCATAATATTAAAGACAAGAAATTGTGGTTTAGACCCATAAATACACAAGTGACATAACAGTGCCCTGTAAGGAAAAAAAAATTCCAACAACAGCAAACATGCATTAGGATCATTATTTGCTATGCAGTACTGTGAATATCTCAATAGAAAGCCTACTCCTGAAAAAAATATTTGAATCCTACAGAAGTATATCCATTGCTAAGAATTTCCTTCCCATATTCAGGCACACTAAGAAATCCAGCCATCTGCATGTCATTACGACAGCCAAAGCAAGCCTGACCGACTACTAACAGAATGCTAGGTAAGACACTGGGGGATGCAGCCTTTTCATCAAAAAGATCACAATTCTAGTTTCCCAACTAAGCCTACACACTTTCAAATTAAAAAAAAAAAAAAAAAAAAAAAAAAAAAAAGTGCCTTGGTTTATTTATTTTATTGTATTCAATATATGAAACACAGTTCATTCCAAGTACTGTATTGGGGAGGGGGGTGTGTGCCTTTGTTTCTCTGCTTTTGGTTAATTGTGGCCCATGTATAATTTTGCAGAGGCCATCTATACTCAGAATTCTTACTGCTGATGCATTTTTGGCCTTTCAACAAGCAAAACTGATTTTAGAACAGAATGAACTGATGCTCGGCATTAAAACTTTTTTTTTTTTTTTTTCCCCTTCTTGATAAAATACTGGCCCGCAGTTTCTCAGCACTGATCGGTGATCTTCAAGCACAAGAAACACCTGCCAAGCCGGCAGAAGCCACCGGTGCCCCTGCAGAAGTGGCCCGCTACGGAGCAGCGGCCCAGATGTTTCTGTAGGGAGCTGCAAAGGGCAAGGGCAGAGGGGCGGGCCAGGGCTGCGCTGTTTCTCGCCGCTCACGCAGGGCTTCCCCCACCCGCTCAGGCGGCGAAGGGACACCCGCGGGGCTCAGAAGCCGTCGTGTGACCGGGAAGGCGCAGAGCTCTTCAGCGCACCGCGAACCGGCTGGGCCCGGCAAAAACAAAAAGCAGCGCTACCCTCGGGCCCGGCCGAACCCCCTCCTCGGGCCCGGCCTCCCCCCAGGCCGCAGGGGCCGCTGCCACCAGCCCCATCAGCACCGGTGAGGGGCCCGTGCTGAGGGGCCTGGCGGCAGCGGCCCCTCGGGCGGCTCCGACTCCGCGCTCGGCCGGCCCCGGCCCCTTCCCCCTCTCCGGGGACGGGCAGCCTCGGCGCCGCGCCCGCCCCTTCCCTCCCTCCCTGCGGAGACCCACATCGGACGCAGACGACTCTTCACTGTCGGGGCGGCGGTCCTGGCCCTGGCCCTGGCCCTGGCCCTGGCCGCGGCTGGCGGCGCTCGGCATCCCGCCGCGATCGGCACGGCCCCTCACGGTGCAGGTGGGCCCGGCCACGCCGCCTCCGCCTGCCTCTCGCGAGACCGGCCGCCGCCCGGCCTGCCTATCGCGAGAGCTGCGCCGACAGAGCGGCGCGTGCGCAGCGCAACGGCCGCCGCTGAGGGGCGGGAGCTGCCCTCAGCCGCCTCAGGGCTGGGCGGGAAGGGGGTGGCGGCGGTGTGTGGGGCTGTTGCTCGCCGCCCCGTCCCCTCCTCCGAAGGAGAACGGCGGCCGAAACGGTCGCTGTTGTCACGGGAACGGCCGCTGTCATGAATCCCGCCCTCCGGCCCTGCGCTGAAGCTGAGGCAACGGCTGCCGCGCCCGCAGCGGAGGTGCGCTGGTCGGGGCCGCGGCTGTGAGGCTGGGCAGCGGGTGGGTTTGGTCCTCGCCCGCCCTGCTCCGCAATCCCTCACGTTTTATGGCCTGAGGTAACGTTGGGCTGTGAGGTGGCTCACTAATGGGCTCGGCTCGGATAGCAGAGCCAAGTTGCGCTTTTGTTCTGTCGCACCAGCAAACTTGGCTTGCCAGTGCTCACCCTAGTAGCCCTTTAGTTTCCCGTCAATCTCACTGTTTATTATTAGTTAGCTAAAACCCACAGTAGGTCGGGTAGTTTGGGGAGAATGAACATTAGTGCAAATCCAGGTGTTTCCCTCCAGCTGGGCGCTTAAATCAATGCTATGGTACTGAGGCCAGGGCTCGATGCAGGTGCCAACTTTAAAACGACAGAAATCAGAGTTGCAAGCAGCTGTTGAATCTAATGGCCATAGATTGTTTATTTTGTGCAGGACGAGAAGGAGTTGGCTGTCCTGATTTAAACTGCAGTTTTAAATTTTCACATTTGACTAACTAATCCCTCTTGCGGTATCGATTAGAGTTCTTCATTTCCTGTCCTACAGTTGTTTATTTTACAGCGCTTTGTACTGCATTGGTTCAGCATCTCTTCTCGTGGGAATCCCCTTGCAAAGTTCCCCTTCTGCCTCTGTCTCAGAGAACTATGCACTTCACCATAAGACCGCATAGCTTTCACAAAATCTTTTCTTCTTATGCAAAACACCGTTGAAAAGAATTAAGATCCAGTAACAGGGAAGGCAAATCACAGTCAGTTTTCATACCTCCTCACCACAAGAAACAAAGTTCTAATAGTAGGTTTTTGTGAAGTGTACTTAAACGTTAATGTAACAGTAACAAAACACGTGGATTTCTTGCAGCATGTCAGTTGTGTCTTTTCTGTTACCTGTCAATTAGAACACAAGGCTGAGCAGAACCACTGCTGAACCTTAACTAACAGACAGATGCAAATCTTGTGCCTCACCACAGAGTAGACAGTACCATCTGTACAACAGAATGCTTTGTAATTCTCGGCATTTCACTGACTTTGCTATGAAATTAAATCAAAACAAACCAGCCCTTATTTTTATGCTGGGAGCCTTCCAATAGTGAACAGCATAATGAGAATTTCCTCTGGGGCAAATAACCTGAAGGTGGTTCTGAAGGAAAAACTTTTAATATAATGAGGGTGTTAACTGAAAACAAAACATGGCCAAACAAAATATGCCCTTTAAAGGGCACTGTAGTTAATTATTCCGTTGCCAAACTTTCAGAAGAAGCATTTTCCAGAGTTCATGCTCTCAGGTCATTTGTCCAGGATCCTTTTGTCTTGCAGTGCGGAAACAGGTTTTTTGAATAAAATTCTACAATACATTGAAGACAGAAAAATTAATTAATTTTAGGAATAATTACTGACAATAATTATTTCATAGCTGGTTAAATAAACCCCTCGAAATTCTCCACCTATTTTGGGTCTGCAGCAACAATTCATTTTTCCATATCCATCTTACTAAATTCATTACAAATCTTCTGTCAAGAGAACAAAATGCTCTCTTCAGATGATGTAGCTCATCTGCTGCACCTTCTGTTTCGTTGCGCGATTATTGAAAATCATGTAATTGGGGTAGTACCTGCAGTGAACCTTAGAGTGATAAGTAGGAGCAAAGCTGGTGCTGGGCCCCGGGCGGGAGGCGGAGGGGCTGGGGGAGCGGCTGGGCGGCCAGCGCTGTCCCCTGGGCTTTGGCCGAGGATTACCAAATGGAAATGACATCACCCGCAGCCAATCGGGGGGCCCCGGGGGTGCAGCTGGATGGAAGCCATATTCCACTTAAGTAACAAGACATGACATACCATGTGCTAATGCTAAATAATTTATCCCTCAGGCATATAGTGAATTGCAAAGCCAAGCTGAGGCCTGGTCAACAGTTTGTAGTTTAAATTAAAACTGGCTTTTCCATCTTGAAGAGAGGGAGGGGGTTGTCAATTGTGGTGATCAAAAGTGGAATACAGAGATCTGGGTTTTTTTCTCTTTGCTTCACTTCACTTCTTTCTCCTGCCATAATTTGATCTAATCAAAACACTCTTTAGTGATTTTGGGGATGTACTACACATATATTAACATGTAGGAAAATCTTAGAATGAGTTTTAAGTCACTGTGAATGATGATATCCAATATATCCTTGAAACTCCGGCATTTGCACCTGTAATTTCCTAAACTGAAGCTGTTCCAAAATTTGGTCACATGTGTATTCATGTTACAAATGTTATATGGGCGTTTCCATAGCAGAGTCATAAATATGTCTCGTTAGGAATCCAGAGGCATTTGCTTCTGCTTAGGCTGAAGATCACACCCGGTCAGCTTCTCTTCTGGATGGTTGGAGCTAGCAGTAGGCAGGGGCTGGATATGATGTTAACCACAGCGTTTCATTGCCTGCTGTTGGTTACTGGAACTCACAATGTAGCCTTTCCAACTCAGTGGTCCAGCTAAGCTTGGCCAAACCTTTGACGTACTTTTGTTAAAATACAGTGCTGATTTTACCTAAGAGCTGAGCGCCAGAATATGCTAAACAACACTTCCACTGAAACCATGAGAAGTTGAAAGTAGCTTGCGCCTTCCATAATCTATCCTTATGTAGCACTTTACAAAAATGGTGGCTCAAATATTCTTTAATCTTCCAGTGTACTACTGATCAAGAAGTGAACAGTTAAAATATACACTGTCTTGGTGGGAAGGAGATAGGAATTGCCTTTACATTATTTTAAGATAAGAATTTAAAAGGACCTCTGGCCTGTGGAATAAGTGAGATACATTTACCTAGTCTCTTCATGTTTGGCTAGTTAAAACCTGGAGAGCATGAAGTGGCACAGAGTTAAAAGGAGCATGTAGAAAAAAATACAAAACAAATTGGTAGTGTCTCTGAAAGGTCTTCAGGGAATTCAGCTTTATTTCCACAATAGCGCTCTTTCCAGTGTGCAATTACTCGTTGTCATGGAAAGGGATTTTGAAGATTTCTTTTATTTCGGATGTTACAAAGTACACTTAATTTAAGTAAAAGGTTGCATTTGATTTTTCCTTTCCATATTTGTTTACTTATCTATGTTCTTATATGATTGTCAGGCCAGTATCCAAGTTCCGCTTAGATAACAAAAAGAGAAAAAAAAAAAAACACTGAAAAAAATTCAGCAGCAGCTACAAAATTAATATAGCATTTCTTTTCTAAGTTATGTAAGTTCATACTGTGCATTCTGTGACAGGGAAGGCTCTTCTGTTAATAATTTTCAGCCCTGGCAAAAATGCATTTTTGCAATTGATCATTCTTTTTTTACTCAAACATTTACACAATGAGTAACAAAGCCTTTGCATCTAAATCCAAGTAGGAACAGAAATTGGCAAATCTAATTCCTTCCTGGATTTTCGCAGCTCTACTTCCTTTAGGAAGTTTTTAGTCAATGGGAAACAAAGGCTTATTGAAAGGATTAAAGTTACAACTATTCTCTTTGTTTTAGAGCTTCAATCATGGTTTTCCTCTAGTAAACAACATTTGCAATTAATAAAACTTCTAAAAAAACAGGAACTTTGGGGAAGTACGTGCTTATGATAAGCAGCAGGATTTCTTTTAACAGAACTCTATTCAAAGGTGTAGTCTTTTTAAGTTAAGACAATGATGACAATTGAGTTTCTCAATGCATTTTAAAAGTGTTCCTTCTGATAAACACAAGACAACATGCTCTACAGTCAGGGATGGGCAATACATTTAAATAGGATATATCTTGTCAGCAGTTTATTTTGTCCCAAAATGATTTTAAATAGCTGCAAACAACTCACATTTCATATAATGCATAAACCGAGTAATCATGTCTTGCACAATGAAATATCTATGCCCATTGGACATACAGTACTGCATATATTTATGAACTATTATGCACACACTGTTTATTGTTTCCTTTATATGATGCTTGAAAAAGGCATTTGGATAGCAGTTATCTGTGCATGAATAAGAACACATGGAATATTTAATCTTTATAATTTGTCTTTTACTGTTTTTGTGTCATGAAATATCTTATGAATATTTTCATGTTTATGTCAGCTATATTTTTCTTACTCGCTTTATGTGTTTACACCCAAGGAATTATCTTCTGTCAGAGGTAAACTGAGGGAAAGGTTGTAACTTTGTTGACAGCCTTCCCTGGAGGGCAGTGTGGAGCTGTGGGATGGTTGGGACAGACTTGCAGGAGATATTTCATGAACAGCTCAACTATTGTTCTCACTCAAGTGTCCAGTTCTTTTTCTGGGGTGGCTTATGTCCAAAGGGTGGTGAAAACAGCAATCAGGAGAATAAAGGGCCTGCGGTTTTGACTGGCCCCTTAGTGCAAGCGCACTGTTGCTTCTTAAATGCCATTTTTCATTTACAAAAAAGCATCTTAAACCATTGTCCTTCTGATGATAATTTGTATACTTTTATCTCACATGTAGGAAGATTTTTTTCTAGTAATTGTTCCTGTGAACTGAGAGTATCTCTGCTAACCTCTAACCCAGAGTCAACTTCTGGTGAAGCTATAAACCTTTAGAAGCAGAAGGTTTTAATGGGAATCCTGACTCAGACTTTTATTTCAGCAGCAGGAACAGTGCTCTGTTATCAGTAGAATGTGAGTCAGGCACCAACAGTAAATCTGATCTTTGAGGTCATCCATTAGGAGTAAGTGTTCTTTGTTGCTGTCTGAAGCAAACAAGAAAC